ATTCATTCATTCATTCATTCATTCATTCATTCATTCATTCATTCATTCATTCATTCATTCATTCATTCATTCATTCATTCATTCATTCATTCATTCATTCATTCATTCATTCATTCATTCATTCAGTCATTCATTCAGTCATTCAGTCATTTCATTCAGTCATTCATTCATTCATTCATTCATTCATTCATTTATTTATTTCATTCATTTCATTCATTCATTCATTTCATTTCATTTCATTTCATTTCATTTCATTTCATTTCATTTCATTTCATTTCATTTCATTTCATTTCATTTCATTTCATTTCATTTCATTTCATTTCATTTCATTTCATTTCATTTCATTTCATTTCATTTCATTTCATTTCATTTCATTTCATTTCATTTCATTTCATTTCATTTCATTTCATTTCATTTCATTTCATTTCATTTCATTTCATTTCATTTCATTTCATTTCATTTCATTTCATTTCATTTCATTTCATTTCATTTCATTTCATTTCATTTCATTTCATTTCATTTCATTTCATTTCATTTCATTTCATTTCATTTCATTTCATTTCATTTCATTTCATTTCATTTCATTTCATTCATTCATTCATTCATTCATTCATTCATTCATTCATTCATTCATTCATTCATTCATTCATTCATTCATTCATTCATTCATTCATTCATTCATTCCATTCCATTCCATTCCATTCCATTCCATTCCATTCCATTCCATTCCATTCCATTCCATTCCATTCCATTCATTTCATTCATTCATTCCATTCCATTCATTCCATTCCATTCCATTCCATTCCATTCCATTCATTCATTCATTCATTCATTCATTCCATTCCATTCCATTCCATTCCATTCCATTCCATTCCATTCCATTCCATTCCATTCCATTCCATTCCATTCATTCATTCATTCATTCATTCATTCATTCATTCATTCATTCATTCATTCATTCATTCATTTCATCCATTCATTCATTCATTCATTCATTCATTCATTCATGTCTTTTGTCTACTTAATCATTTATTTCGTTACTCATTAGTTGCTTTGCTTGTTGCTTTGTTTGTCCATCTATCAATGAATTTGTTCAATTGCTTGCTTATTTACTTACCAGTTTAGTTGTGTTTTCCATGTTCTTCTGCTTTCAGTTTCTTAAAATAGTGTTTATTTAAGCTCATTAAATAACTAACATAATAATGAATTACTCAATTAATAGTCACTCCCCCTCTTGCCTGCAAGCTGACGACTTCCAGAGCGTCTGAATCCTGCACCGAGAGTGTGCCAACCGCGAGGAGGGTCCTGGGCCGTTCGAGGCGTCGAGGCGCGCGGCAGCGTGCGGGCATGAGGCACCGGGTCTCGGAAAGCTGTGCTGAACAAAGATAGCTGTGAAGGTAGGGACACTATCATCCATGGCATCTTGTGTGATCAACAGGATGCACAAGGATTCGGAGGAATGCACGTGTGCTAATGTTGACCCAGGATCTAAGTAGAACGCGTCCCATTATTAGGGGGGTGAAACCTCCTCCAAAAGGGGCTGAATCCAACCACTAAAAGGGGACACCCCCCGATCAAAATCAACCAGGGGTTTATTAATCCGGGGTTAACATTAGCTGTGAAGACTTTTGGTAACTGCATGGAGGACATGGTTCTGGTTGATACCAATGTCAGCTTCAGTTGGCTGAATGAGAAAGTCCACATGGAAGCCATTGGGAGCACTGTGATAGGTGTTGCGTCGATGGGATGGCCCAGTGATTTAGGAATGACGGGGATACACATCAGGCTCGCTTGCCAGAACCTGCATGGGCAAGAATCTACCGTCGTACGTGCCGTCCTCAAGAACGTTTATGTTGATTGTACAAGTCGGGGCATGATGCTGTATCTCGACCGCTGCATATGCTGGGATTTTGGAACGCTATCACGCCTGCAAACTCTACGGGTGTTTGAATACAGCGTAGAGTGGGCAATGAGCGTGATCCCGACTGACATGGTTTGGCAATTAATCCCCGTGTCCTAACGAGCGCCAAAGGTCATCTGCCCGTTAACCGCAGCAGACAACGCTGAATGTGTTGAAGACGACAGCCTGCAACTGCAAACAAACTAGACACGCAAACATCAATATCTGCCAAGCGCAAACATTCAAAACCAACCAGCGGGCGAGCGCGCGAGCAAGCTATCTAGAAGGTCAAATCCATTAAGGCCTTAAAAGCGTTTGTCCATGTTTGGGTCTCCGTCTGTGGCTGTCTGCTTGTCTAAACTGGGGCCTCTCTCTGTCGGTCTCCGTCTCCCAATCTGCGTATCTGCCTCTTGCGCGCTCCTTTGTCGCTCGCTGTGTCTGTGCCTTTCTCTGCGTCCATGTCTTCATCTCTGCCTTCGTCTCCGTCTCTGCGGTTTGCGTGTCTGTGCCTCTGGCTCCAGCTCTGCATCTTTCTGACTTCATGTTGTTCGTCTAGTGCAGGTTTTGGATCCCAAAGGTCGAGTGACGCTTTAAGTATCCGAACGTGTGTTGCTCAAGGCTTCAAAGGATATTGTACAAACATGTACACCTGTCCGTAGAGAAACACATGCTCTCAACTGTGCACATCGGTCGACATTACCTTGCATGCAAATGTATCTTCATTCATGAAGATATCAGAAAGTCAAGGACAATCTGGAACGGCACACAGACGGCTACGAAAGCATACGGACCAGCATCCAGCTGTCGCTGAAGAACAAAGTAGCCCTCACTCAACCAAGGAACAACGGACGGAGGTCCGAAACCTTCCCAGTGATAATCAGCTCCCCGGGCACGGTTTGGCAGCCCGTGGCTGCAAAGGCTTCGACGTCTGCCTCTCGAGCAGGGAGAAAAGCAGCCCATCCCGACTCACTAACATGGATATGCTTTGTATTGTGGGTTGCCCTGTTTGGATCGTTGAAAGCAGAACCAAGCAAAACTCAACTCTCCCACTACGGAGACTGGACACTTTGACAACAGCGTTGAGACCAAGTGCAAAATGAGAATGTAACACAGCCCGACGAACTCCGAGCCACCGGTCCCTACGACCAACTCCGAGCCTTGCGTTTCGACATGAAAGGTCAACTTGTCTAGCGTGCCTGGCTTCTCAGGGTCACCGAGCTCCGGCAGCTCTTCAGCAGAGTGCAAGGGCCGCCGCACCCGCAGCAGGCCTTCCGCTACGCCGCAAGCAATATGCGGGTTCTATGACTTTCGTGCTTTACGCACATTGGCGACACGTCCGGAGCTGCGGTCGCAGCCGCCGAGGTTGCTCAAGCTGACCAGCCTTTGGGGGACAAAAGCACCTCTAGTGGATAAGCTCTTGGCCATTCTTGGCCACTCTCCCAGCACGCTCTTGCCAATGGGCCGCGGGCGCGTCTCTCGCACATCGGCAATAAAAGCCATGGATTGACTCTTCCACTCCACTGAAGTTAAAACAACGAATTAAAAGCCAATCGACATGTCAGTACCCGGGTGCCTGCATTCCCAACTGCCAGGAAGTTGCTGTGACAGTATTGTCATGTCTGGCGTGTTACGCACACAAAGCTTGCGCATGTCAAACACTTGGAGTTTCACCCTACCTTCTGAAGTTGCACGTGTGTCAGGTGCCAGTTGATGTTGAGGGCATGTTGATTGCAATTCCACTTTCATGATTTTAGGGCTACGAACTCTGTGTAAATTCAGGCCTCAAAACTTCGAAGCGTGGAGGAAGCAGCATGCTGCCAGGATGGGTCGAGGCTTTGTGAGGAAGTGTCAGCTTGAGGCTGGGCCTGGAGAAATTTCATGGCCTCGGGCCGGTGAGTGTTGCTTGCTCACGGATAAGATGCTGCGCAATAATTTACAGCTGCGCGTTGAAAGTACAGATGTTGGGGGGCAAGGCGTCGAGAGAAAAACAATGTGGTTGACGCATTATTCAAGGAACAACAAAACTGGAAGTCCTCAAGAAGCAGTTTGCTTGGTCTCAAACTTCATAGCAAAGGGTGCTTGTGCGGCAACAGTGTTTCACAAGTCTCGAATGCGAAATTCGTACAGTAGATAGTCCGCCAATGCAGTCAGGTCGCTACCTACCTGCCCAGATCCCTGCGACACTTTTGCACATCCGGCCTCTTGAGCTGAGCGGTTGTCGAACGGGTTCAACCAGTCAGCGAAGGTACCGTCGCTGACCTGTGACAATGACAAGGTCAGGGCGAAGAACACGACGTTCGAAAGCCACGATCCACATCATTTCGGCTTACGACTTCCAGTTGGCTGATGGAGGGATTCTGACTCGAAGAAGGAATCCTGAACCCATTCCACCAGGGGTGCAAAGCAGTGGGCGGGCCCGTTGAAGGACTGAACAGTGTATTTAGCTCGATCAATTGCAACATTCCACCCTAAAATGACAAAGTCCAACCCCCAGCCCATGTTAAATCCCTGTTACAGCTACAGGCCCTCCAAACACTTCACACAAGTTAATCCGAAGCCTCTGACAAGACTTGTTCAACCCTTTTGGCGGACACCGCCACGCTCGGAATTCCCAACTGGGTGTCCCAGCCTTCCAACTTGGGCCATAGCCACCATCGAGGCACCATTTTTCGTTGTTGTAGATTTCGCAGTTTCGCCTAAGCTGATCACAGTGTTGTGCCTTCTCATACTTCACATTGAGAATGCGGTGAACAATTTGCCCGTATTCCATTCGGAAAGGCCCAATGCTCCGCTGCATTGATTGCGAAAACATGAGGAACACCTGTCAGCCCTATCCTTGCAGGAGCGTTGCGTTGACAACACTTCTTCAACCGCGCAGAAAACAAAAAGATGTGGTATTGCTTCAATGGTTCTCTCATGTCGGAGGGCATTTACAGTTCCGGGACTTTCCGCGTTTTTCACCATTCATGCCACAGTCCATTTGCTGCAAGCCGGTGGGTGTCAGCTCACAGCATACACTTCTTGCCCCTCGCCAGCATTTATCCATTCCTTTGCGCCGGCTCATGTACTCTTTGTATCGGTTGCTTTCTGCTCCCTGCTAAAGTTTTTAACTTCTAGTGGTTTCATGGAAACAAGTTGTTGGTTTAACTAAAAGTTTAACTTTTAGTGGTTAGTTGGCAAAAAGCTGTTGAGTCCTCACATCCAGTGGCAAAGTGCGCCAAAGTATCGTTCTCTCTGCTGCTTCCCCTTCTGGCCAAGCAGCCCAGTGGCATCGAACCACGAGTTGTCGAGGCTTCCGTTCACGGAGCAGCTGCAGCAGGCTGCGATCGCATCAACGCCTCCTCGCAGAAGTCTCAGGGCCAGTTGCCCAGTAGCTCTGGTACTTGGTGCGATAAGTAGGGAATGTGGTTGAATGAACCCAGGCTTTGGTCCCCTTAAAGGAAACCAGTTGGATGGTTTATAAGGGTGATTCCATTTCTCACTCCCTGAGCACCAGCAAGATTAAAGGAGACCCATGTCTTTTGGGATTGACAACTTTCGGAGGGAAAAAAGAAAGAAAGGGTGTCACGCAAACCCAAACCGATCGCTTCCAGTCTCACAATGTGCTCTTGCAGGCAACCCTTGGACTGGTGAACTATCTTGATCTCAAAGGACTCTGGTTTTGGTTTCGGATGGAAGGCCACGTAACTCATCGCACATCTGGTGAATTGCAAGGTAATTGAAGAAACACACAACGAAGAACCTGGAAGGCTTGAGCTACAAGTATGAGTCTGATCTCGGAATTCAAACACTAGATTCACCTGAGAGCTAGTCTCCAGTGACACGCATCTGAATGCCCCAGGGCTGGGTTGTTCAAACAGGGTCAATCAAACCTTTTGCGAACTGACGCTTCACGAAGCTGACAAAGGGTTCGGCTGACTCGACAACCCCTTCCGAACTTCCGGATCCTGCGTCCGCCTGATCCTGATATGTGCCTCGCTCCTGAAAGGCTCGCATGCCCCCTCGACGTGAGCAAGGAACCCAATGCGTGTCAAAGGGAACCGCAAGAGATCAAGGTGGCACCATGTAGCGCTCTGCCACAGATGAAACGCGTGTGCCATCAGAAGGGTCAACATTTACTGTGCTTCCTCCCATCCCATAGCGGACGCCACCGTTGCGTTGGCCAAGTGTTTCGGTGACATGAACGCCATCGGCCAAATGGGATTTCCCACGAGTCCTGGCACAGCACACCCGCTCTTGGCATCGCTTCGCTTTCGGCCTTTCAGCCCTTGACTGCACGCAACCTCAAGCCAACGTGCCGATGTACCTGTATGCCTCCTTTCCTCAGTTGAACTGATTGTCACCGCCCAAAAAACATCAATGGAGACCCGTGCCCCCATCACGCCGTGGGGGAGGTGGGCATGGTCTTGGATGCGTAATGCATGCCTGCCAGGCCATTACCACACTTCATCCTGATTTCATTTGTCGATGATCCCTGTTGCCCGCAGGGAATGGGCATGAATGAAAACTCCCAGCCAAAGCAAAAGCAACATACTATGGACTGGTCAAGCAGGGCAGCTTGTATGTAAGTGTAACTGCGGGTTGCTTTAGCTTTGTCTTTAACCAACTGATTTGAATGAAGTACAAAAAAACTCATACTAATACTAATACTAACACTAATAATAATAAATAATAATAAATAATAATAGACAAATAAATAATAATAATAAAAAACACACAATATAAAACAGTAGTAATAATAATAATAATAAAAATAATAATAATAAGAAGAAGAAGAATAATAATACTAATAATAATAATAATAAATAATGATAATAAGAAGAATTATAATAAATAAATAAATCATAAATAAATAATAATAATAATAAGAATAATAATAATAATAAATAATAATAATAATAAATAATAATAATAATAAATAATAATAATAATAATAATAAATAAATAAATAAATAAATCATAAATAATAAATAATAAATAATATATATATATATAATAATAATAATAATCATAATAATAATAATAATAATAATAATAATAAATAAATAAATCATAAATAATAAATATATATATATATATATATATATAATAATAATAATAATAATAATAATAATAATAATAATAATAATAATAATAATAATAATAATAATAATAATAATAATAATAATAATAATAATAATAATAATAATAATAATAATCATAATAATAATAATAATCATAATAATAATGATAATAATAAATAAATCATAAATAATAAATAAATCATAAATAATAAATAATAATAATAATAATAAGAATAATAAATAATAATAATAGTAATAATAATAATAATAATAAATAACAATAATAATAATAAATAATAAATAATAAGTCATAAATAATAAATAATATATATATATATAATAATAGTAATAATAATAATAACAACAAAAAATAAGAACCAATAAAAATAATAATAAACCATAATAATAATAATAGTAATAATAATAATAATAGATACTACTAATAATAGTAACAAACCCAAAACATGTTTCCCTCCCTCCGCTGCCCCCCTCTCTCACACCCAGTCCTTCAACCAGCCGCCGCTGCACCACGCGAGCTCCAAGTAGTCCTGGCAGCTGAAGCCCTTGGCATCGCCTCGCGCCAGGCCGCCGGGTCTGATGGGTGGTAGGACCCGTTTTCTGGAAGGAAACAGATGGGTCATGTGCAGCCTATATCTCCAGAAAATCAGATTGCCAACATCTCCAACATCTCCAATTTCTCCAATATCTCCAATATCTCCAATATCCCCATCCCATGCGCAATATTTTCAAATATTTCTCCACACATCAGCTCCATGGGCCGGCTTGGAGTATGATCTTTAAAAGTCGAAGCCTCAGGAATTCCAGCAATTCAGGAACTCTCTTCCGTGCAAACAGACGCAGTGGCCTTACTGGCTTAAGGCTGTCCAACCGCTGACCCGTGCGCACGGTCCAATCGGCAATCACCTGCTTTCCTCCTGGATCTGGGTTCGCTTGGATTGCAACTAACTTGTACAGCGGGAAAAGCATCTGCATCCTCCACCCTAGCGCTGCATTCAGAAGGACGGTCCGGTTTGGCAGCTTCAACTTGTCGGGCTTGGCCAACCTTTTGCAATCCAAGTTGCCCATTGAATAATCTCGCTGACTACATGTCCAGACTTGTATCCGTCTGCGTTGCCCCTTAGCAAAATGCCGCAAGCCTAATACAACGAGCTTGTTGCTTCTGGGCTTGGCTGACCCACTCCAACACCGCCGCAGCCTTTCCAACCATATCGAGCACAGGGCGTGCTCAGTCGCCGCTGAACATCCCTATAACTTACAAACGGAAAGGATGCACGCCTACCCTGTAGAATGTGCTGCAAAGGCATGGCCGGACATTTTATATGTGGGTGTTTTTACTACATTGAAGACACAACAAACAACTGGTTCGACCTTCGCTTCCCTCGACTCCGAAGACCCCGGAGCCAGCCGCGACCTGACGAGCCCGCGAATCCACTAGCGAGTCTGCCAGGCGGCGCCACTGGGTCTGGTCGCAGTCGGAAGCATTGCTTTCCTGGGCTGATCCGGCGTCCGTATCACGGCCACTTGATGGAACACCCTCAAACAAAACAACAAACCTGAGTCAAAGCAACATGTTGGGACAGCTGGGCGCTCGTATCTGGATGACGTGTGTCTACAATACAAATGTACGGGCATAACACGGAAGTAGGCAGGTAGGCAGGCAGGCAGGGAGGCAGGCAGGCAGGGAGGCAGGCAGGCAGGGAGGCAGGCAGGCAGGGAGGCAGGCAGGGAGGCAGGCAGGGATGCAGACAGCCTGGTTCTTCGTACAACCACCACAGATCGCCCGACCCAATCAAAACACACAAATGAAGTCGACAGTGCTCAAAAGCAAATGCTTGGGAAACCAGGTGTCTTCAAGCCGGAGGTGAAGCTGACCCACCCCCGTCCTTTGCAGAAATCTGTGCAAACTGCTGAATAAAATGCTGGCCATTTCACGCACTCATCTGCAAACAGGCACGAAAAACTCTGGTCCTTGTATCTTCTCTGCGTGAGATGAGTGTGAGTTCCACACGCTGTGGCATAGGTGTCCTTTTTGGGAAAATAGATGGACCTGGTGGTTGATTGAACCACCAGGTAAACCAGGAATCGCCCTCTATTGTTAAACCAAATCAACCAAACAGGACACCTCGCTGTGGTTTACTTGCCTCTGCCACACCAAAAGACCCAAAGCCGGGTTCCCCCGTTTTCGACCTGGGCCATTCTCCGAATCTGCGCCCTAGAAATCGGACACGCGGTGGGCGCGAATCATGGGCGCCTTGGATCAGCGGACTGTCCGCCTTTTTGGTCTTAGGGGAAGCTGCTTGTTGAGTTGACAGCCAGACCACCCCTGTTGTCAGTACGTGCCTATAAGTTGAGTGACGGCCAAACAGCTTGCCCTTCGCGCGGTCACCTTCGCGCAAACACCGAAGTGCAAGACTTGCTTCCCTAGGAGCACCGATGCCCTATGCCCGATTCGGAGCAGTCCTAATTGACCCGGTTTGACCCCCTCCCCAGCCGCCGACCCGTCGACTCGAGCGGTCGACTGTGCAGCTCCAGGCGCGTTCCTGAGGCCCCCGCCGCAGCCGCAGCAGGCGGCCACGGCCGTGAGCCCCTCCCGGGCGTAGTCCTCGAAGCTGCCCCAGCTGGCCTCCCAACCCGCGCCGTAGCCGCCTGGGGCCGAGACGCAAGAGCGAGCGCCGAGCGAGCCGGCGTCCTCGCCCGGCAGCGCCCGGCTCCGCAGTTGCATCCAACAAAACCCCTCTTGATGTAAGATGGAAAGGAGAGCCTCACAAGGCACCAGGAATTGTTTCAGTGGCCTCCTGGCCTCCTGTTTCTTTGAAAGCGCGAGCAAGATTGCCTGCAACACAAGTGTCAAGGCATCTCAAAGCCGATATGATTGCTGGTTGCCTCTGGCGTTGGTTTCAAATGGGCGGCTGGGATCGGAAGGAGGCTGACATGGCCAAGCCCGACTCAGTCAGAGCAAAACATTGGCCAATGCCTTGGTGACAGGTGAGAATGTGTCCAAGGTAGGGACATGTTTGACACCTACCCGTATCTTGACTTCAATTACAACGTGCTCTCTGTGTCTCTACTCCTGCAATCTCTTTCTTTTGGTTTCTCTCTCTCTCTCTCTTTCTCTCAAGAAAGCTGCTGATAATGCTACTGTGCTAGGTACACATTGCTCCCTCGATGGTACTTCCTCGTGGTTTTGGAACCACATGATCCAGAAAGGGAATCGCCTTCCTTTCAAGCAAGCTTCTTGACTGCAAGCCGAGTCGGGAAAAGTAGTGAGAGAGGGCCATCCCTGCACTTCGAGCGTCAAGCGCCTGCCACGCCAATAATCAAAAGTCATTCACGCACCTGGAAATCTGGGCTGTCCTCAGATCCCCTTTTAAAAGTGAAACACTTTTAGCGGGCTAAATAGAAATCCAACCACTCAACACCAAAAAGCTGAAAGGCTCAGGAACCGGATGGCTGGGGAGCGCAGGGGGTCACCTCCCTGGCGATCTGTGGTCTGCGGGTGCATGTTGCCCTACCGGATCAAGCAAAAGGAACGTGGCAAACATGCGCCGGAGATAGGGCGCCAAAAGGGTACACCCTAAGCCTTGCCCGTAGCAGCAACTCTTTACCACCAACTTACCTCGAATTTACCCCCAACGTTGTGGGTCATTTACCCCTAAACTTGTCGATAATTTACCGTACACACGTTCAGAAAATCCGAGATCAGCGAGAAAAAGCCCTCTGTGAGCTGCATCCTAGGCACGGTCGGAGCTGCACCAAGCCTGACTAGGAAGGTGGGCTGGCCCCCCCCCACAGCCTCCCGCAGCCACCCAAGCAACATGCATGCCACATCTTACACATTGACCAGCATCAGGATCCAAGCAAATTGCGGCATTTGGGGAATCAACACCTATACTGACAGGCACAGCTGAAGGTTCAACAGGTACGAAATTATGGAGGTGCAAGTTCTGAAGAATCACAGGGGCAAGCATATTGCTCGCTCGTGCACCGACCTCGTCCACGTACCCTGCGCAGGTGTCTCCGCCGCCGTCGCTCCATCCGGGAAGGTCATAGCAAGCCAGCACGGCGAGAACCAGGTTGCAGAATGCTAGCGCAGCGATCACTCGCCGGACCATTTCATTGCGCAGTCCCTGCCCCGCCCTGAGTTCAGGTCAGCAAGTATTCATATTCTGCACTCATGTGTATGCCACACTAATAATTCTCGTTTGCTTTCTGCTCCCCTGCTAGAAGCTTAACTGTTAGAGGCTTAATGGAAAACCCATTAGTTGGCAAAATGTTAAAGTCCTAACATCCAAGCAAAATGCGCCAAAGAATTCCAGAGTTTGCCAAACATGGAACTTATCTGTCCGCAAGACGTCATGTCTGCTGAGCTTGCCGGCCTGCAAAAGAACCCTGTAGCGAGGTACCTGGAACCGAGGTCGCAGTTGTGCCCAGTGTCCCCGCTCGCAACTTGAGGCTCATGTGCAAAAAAGACAGCAGCGGTGCCACGAGCTCTCCAAGCATGGAACAAAACTGATTGCCCTTCTGAACTGTAGTGGTCAAGCAAAACAAGTTGGATTTCATTTATGCCAGCCTAAACTCAAGATGACTGTGAGTTGGACACTAAATCAATCGCTGAAGGCGAAATGGCTTGTGCTTGGCACAAGCGCGTTGCCTGCGTGCAAAGGACAGGGATCTCCTTTATGAATTGGTAGTAGGAAATGGAAAAAGCCACTCCCGTCCCATGATATGGCAATTGGTGTTTGATGGAACATGAACAGTTTTACCCGATGCCTGATTCCTTGATGTCTGAGCCGTTCGAGTAGATACACTTGAGCCTCCTACAGGCAGACACAGTTGCAGTGTGAGGCGGAAAGTGAGTCAACACTTGTCGGTAGTTTGTTGCTCGCTGACTGATCGTTTGGATTGCTTCACCAATAGAGTGCCTTGTGTTGGCCGCGTGCGTTATGAGAGCGGGAGTGAGGGGGAGACGCAGCTGGGGTTAGCTTTTTGGTTCCACGGGCCGCCGCTCTGTCTCGATCGTCGTGAACTCTAGGCATAGCCAGCAGACTCCAAGACCTGATGGCTCCCGAGGGGGGCGGGGTGGGCAGCTAGGCGTGGTTTGCCGTGGCCGAGGTTGGTTCTGCTTTTCAGGGCCGATCTCACAAAGTGAGGCTAGGGTCTTAGGGGAAGTCAAAATTGAAAATCTCGATGCAGTCACCATCTGTGCTGAACCAAGTCATGAATGAATTGTCTCGCATTGCTCTGTGATTGGGGTTGTCTTTGGCGGAGAAGTCCCTATCGTAAGACCGGTTTCACTGTTTATTGCTGCTTGGCAGCTCTTAACCATACCTTACAGCTGAGGTTCTTGTGAAAACATCGCAAAGTCATCACTGGGTTGTTCTGTACTCGGAAAGTCAAACAAGTGAGCAAATCTAGAAATCCAGGGTTACCCACTGCCCGTTGCGGCTTACCCAGAACCACTGGAAAACGGAACACCTTACCTGCGCATTTCAACTAATCACACTGGAATCACCTTGAGTTTCAACCACTGGAATGTCAAGTGCGTGATGTTCAACTCAAATACTTGTTTTGCTGTTGACCCCTCTTGCACAAAGATTCAAATTGCAGGGGTTTTCTACGGAAAGACTCCCTTGATTTTCCAAAGCGTTGGGATTTCTACGGAAAACCCCGTGCGCTGTCCCCCGAAACCGGGCTCGCGGCCTTGAGCTGGTCGCCGCTGAGCTTCACCGCCTTCTTGGCCTTCGGCTCCGAACGTCGGATCGAAGACCCGCGGGGCTCCAAGGCATCGGAGCCGTTTCTGAAGGCGCGGTGGGATTCGAGGTCCTCCAGATTTGAGAGGACCTGGAAGAAGTTGGCGCCCGACGTGCCTTTTTCTGTGGTCGATTTGTTTCGTGGAAAACCCCCCCAACCAAAAAAGAAACGGTGAGAAAGGGCACCTAGCTGGGGCAAGATTGATGTGTCCTAGGCCTGGCCTCAAATATGCCAGATGCAACTACATGCCTGGCAGCCACTCTGTATCGCGCATCGGGCACTCACATCACAGCATGGGAAGATTACAGCCGTGCAGCATTTGATTTTGACACGCCCAGTTCTCGAATGACGGCTGGTTTAGATAGGAAATTGTTCACTGCTCGGCAGCGCTTCCGACGTATTTTGTGCGACCAACCAGCCACGAAATAACCCTCATGTAGAATTGAGAGAATCAGGCAGCTACGATCCAGTTGGTTGTCATTGAGTCAGGATCTTCAGCGAGAGGGGCTCAATCAGGCTGGGTACAAGACCGTAGGCTGGCAAGCTCAGGGAGTTGGGTGCCTTCCGAGCCTTGCAGTGCTTCACTCAGCCTAAGCTGGGGGAAGCTTGGGGAATCCTGCCTCCCTTCACCGCCCCCAGAAGGAGAAGAACGTTTCTCACTACAGGACCAGTCATGGCTGAGACATCCGCTGACTGTCCCTTATCAGAACACCACTGAAGTTGGACTGCCAAGAAACTGATAACATGTCCAACTTCTTGTTGGTCGCAAAGTAGCACTCTTCCAATCTACGAACAATGGCTCCAAGCATGCACAAGATCAACATATCACAACACTTGTTTTGGGGAGGGGGGGCTATTGGAACTTGCCTTTTCTTAGTTATTCACCTCGAATTCCCCCCCCCACAGGCTCCCAGTGCACCAGAGGCCTGTGACCTCTTAGTGGTTCTGCAAAACGCATCACATTGACCCACAAGCCGTTACAAAGGTGCCCTCCACACACCCCTGGCAACCAGATACCTGTGCACTTGGACCTGGCAACCTGACATCGCACGCTATGAAGTCCTCCCTGGCGTGGGCAGATCCATGGCCCAGAGCCCGTCCGCTTTTTTTCCGCCCGGGCGTGGCCTCGTTCTTGGCGCGCAGCGTCGCCGTCTTCTTCTTGTAGAAGGCAGCGCTCTTCACCTGCAAAAACCCGCGCCGGGGAAACTGGGGCTTGGTGTCTGAAGTTTGGAGCGGCCTTGAAGGAATCCAGCGATTTGCTTGGGCCAAGTGAGTTTCGACACACATCCAGATGGGATATGCTTGGAATTTCCTGAGCGGGATCATTCCAGGGGAGGGTGCCAGTACAACAGCATGCATCGCACTAGACGCTGCAAAAAAGGTATGGCTCTTCAGCCAGGCAGGTCGATTCCATCTGAGAAGTGTGCCACTTCTACCACCGGACATCTCTTGGCGGGCACCACTACTTCAGTGAAGTTCAAATAATCCGCACTCGGTAGAGGTTGAACTTCCGGTTTCCGCGGGCCATGGTTCGTAGTCATTATGGTTCTTCGTAAACCATTGATTCATCGTTAGAGTTTTGCGTGCTCGGAAACTTGCCAGAAAAGCAAAGGCGCCCCTTCAACTTGAGAACTTGTCCAAAGCAGGAGCCCGATCTATACACGTCCACCAAAGTGATATCCTCACAGGTACCCTCTAACTACATCGCCGTGTGTTGTTGCTAGGGAACCCACCCCCCAAAGAAAGAAAAACAATATAAAAAAGAAGAAGAAAAACGCCAAACACAAATATTCGAACCCCTCCAAAGGTTCGCTTCAAATCACATGGCTGTGGCTCAAAAAACCGGAACCAACACGGAACCCGATCGGTAAGTGGAAACACGGACCAAAACCTGCGGTTTGCCCCTGCGATCGTTTCATTTTCGAGCCGCACCGGAATGTTGACCCAGGAATAATAAACAGAACCCGTCCCATTCGAAAAGGTGAAACCCCCCTCCAAAAGTGGCCTGAAGCCAACCACTAAAAGGCTTAAAAGGGGATGTTCCCTCCAAATGTGGTCTGAATCCAACCACGAAAAAGCTTAAAAGGAATTGGACACCCCCCGGCTCACAATCAACCAGGGGTTCCGCTTAATCCAGGGGTTAACATGAGCTGTGAAGACCCCGCTCCGACCCCGCCTTGCGCTGAGACTCCAGGCGCTCGATCAGCGCGCCGTGCTTCCAGCCCACCTGCGGGGGCCAGAAAGGCCACGGGGCGAAGAAGGCGACACCCGGTGGAAAAAGGCGAAACGGTGTGGGGTGGTGGTTGAAAAACTAAAAACTGAGAGAAAACTAAGAGAAAACTAAGAGAAAACTAAGAAAACCCTTTGTCAGACACACCTGACTGCATCAACACCGCGTTTCGCCGCCGCCCCGGACATCGCCTGCTGAGAGAGGTCACCCAGGCGGCAGAAGCGGCGCTCCGGGCGCAGGCGCAGCACCTTGAGGCAGCTGGGCACCTCGGCGATGATGCAGTGGAGTACTCTGAACGTGTCTATGTTCAGTTGGAGAGGGTCATCTGCAAATTGAATTTTCAGCGCACTGCTTCTTGAAGGAAGCAAACTTGCCATGGTTGAGTCCGCGCATGTCCAAGTTGGTGTCCAGGTGCAGCTCAGGGCTAGTTGTCGGTGTGATGCTCCAGGGAATCGCGACACACACACACACGTATACAAATCAACAGGAGGTTCATGAACTGGAGATTGCATCACATCACCGTTGTGATTTCCATCCAACCTTAGTCGTGGCATCATGGGGTTAGATGGTGGCACCGCGGGAACTTGTCCAAGCAACAGGAAAACCTACTCGCGTGGCAAAGGCTCAGCTTTGGCCACTACTCTGACATTCCATTCAAGCCGCAGGCAAGAGCTCAGTGAAAAGGACTCGGATTGCCTCCAAGGAGGAAGAGTCAGTGCAATACGTGTCTTCCCAATTTCCTCGCCCATTCAAATTCTAAGGACAGCCATAGGCAGCAAAGTTTCCCTACATCTTTTGTTAGACTCTGGCGCACCCTCGCCCAACTGTCACTGTCTCAGCTGTCTCAGCTCGGCACCACCATCCCTTGGATGCACAAAACGTAACGTCATGCAACCTGCAACTGGCTTGATAAGTTTGAGATTCTCAGTTTCGAACCCAAGCACTGGGTTTCATAGAAAACAAGAAAATGATAGGCATGGAGTCTGAGTCTCTACTTAGAAGCATCGAAAATGAGAGGGTCAACATGAAATGTGGCCTGGTTTTCCAAGGCAGCTTGCGATCGAACGGCTTGCCAAACATCTCTTTCAAAGCCGCAATCTCAAAGGCATCATTTAACATGTTGCCCCAAACTCCTGATGGTGCTGGTTTGTGTTTGTGGGTACAAGAGTCTCGGGAATTATAATGCATCTTCTTGATTTAAGTTTACAAGTCTTGATTGTTGTGCCAGCCTACAGCTGCTTGAGACCAAACTGCCAAAACAGCTTCCAGAGGCCCACAAATCCAACTCGGACTAAGCAGGGGGACAACTTTTAATTTTAAAATATGAAGTCTGGTGATATGGCGGCAACATGTTTCTATTGAACCCCACTTGTGGTCTTCGCGTGAAGGGCTATTGCTGGTCGATGGAGTCCCGCAACCAAAATGTTCAGTAAACTTGGCCAAGCTCAGCTCATCAAACTTCAGCTCCCGCTCACGGCCACGGGGCAGTCCCACAAGTTTCTAGAGGGGGCATCGTCAAAGTCTGTAACCCTCAGAATTTCTCACATCCTTAGGTGCTGAATGGTGTCGTCCATCAACTCCAGCACCACAACAGAAGGACAGTTCACCGTGGCAATGGGTCACAATCGAACATCTGAATCTGGTGCCAGGAGGACAAACGAAAACACTTTCAAAGTCAATTAGACTCTTGGGAGGTCATAGCTTCTACAACCGCAATATTATAGCAATACCATCTGCTTAGTGTAGCTCATGCAAAGCTCGGGCCTGTCAATCGACAGCTTTGCCCAACACTACCTCCAAACAAAACTATGTTTGCTCTAAAACCATTTCAGCACCTCCAGCTTCAACCACTTCACCTATTCCAACGACTCCCAGCAGACACCACAAAGCCACTATGAGCTACTCTGAGCTAATCCAACTGGCTACAACCACTCCAAGCAACGCCAAGCTTGCACTGCTCCCAGCTCCTAAATTGCTCAAGCCACCCCCACCACTCCAAGCACCTCCGCTCATGCATGCGAAGCATCTCACCCTTCACGTGATCTGCTTCAAAAGCCCACCAAGCGGCTCTTCTTGCGGTCATAGGGATGAGGAATTCCCTCAAAGGTCTTCAGCCTCTCCAAAAGAAGGGCGGACTTGCAATGCAAGAATCGCACACGGACAAACTGGTCACAACACTTGAGAAATGACAAAGCGCCTTGAAGAACACGCGTTGTCGATTTATAGTCAATAGTTGATTTCCAGTTGTGCCATACTCGGGGATCCATTGGTGGATGTGAACAACATGATTTGCAAGTGCTCTGCCTCATGCGTGTTGGGCATACATACTTGAGCAATGAACCAAAGCGCGGCAGGTTTAACGCAGCTGCACCGGCACCAATAGCAGCAACGCGAACTCGGTAACTCCTTGGTAGTTCAAGTCTGCTTCAGACACATAATAGCAAATATTGTCTTTAGTAGTTCTGCAAACAAACAAACAAACAAACAAACAAGCAAACAAGCAAACAAACAAACAAACAAACAAATAAGCAAACAAACAAACAAACAAGCAAACAAGCAAGCAAACAAGCAAACTAACTAACTAACTAACTAACTAACTAACTAACTAACTAGCTAACTAACTAGCTAACTAACTAAAACACCTTGCACGTACGATGTGTTCGGACCTGCTACGCGCAGAAATCAGAGGTCTCCAAGGTCGTTTGAACCAACATGACAGGTGCCACACACACACACACAACTTGGCAACATGCCTCTGCAGAATGCCCACCTCATGCCGACAGCGTCGTGTCGGCCCGCTTGGGGGCCCCCTGGCCTGTCCAGCGCCGCGGAGCCCCTGGCGGTCTTGTGCGGCACCTCGGACGGCAGTGGATGGCATCCATTCCGATGGCCAGCGGTGCAGCAGGCTGAGAAGGCTGAACACACCCAGAATTACCGCCAATGCCGGCTACGCAGGGTCCAATGATGGCTCCGATTTGCACGATTTGAGTGCCAAAGATTATGGAGGCTAGGAGTTGGGTTGGAAGGGCCAGCGGTCAAGAGCTGCGCCGCATGAGCATCGGAACGAGAAACTGGGGCGCCCTGCCATGCCGCGGATGGTGCGCCACAGGATCTTCGAGGGGGAGCGGTAGTGCAGGGGGCCCTGCTTTGGGTTGGAGTTCCTCGGCGCGCTCAAGGAATGAGCCAAGGGTTGCGTCAAGAGATGGGGGCGAAAGCCCCCCAAACACCTTCTGGCGCCAACCAGGAGTTGCAATAGGTCGCTCCATCCCGTTGCTTACAAAGCACACACCACCTCTGTTGCGGGGTCCCTTGGCACCAAAGAACGGTTTTGCCAGGCAGGTGTGAGTTGAAAAAGATCCTATTTTGTGGCACCTCAAACAGACGCCGTGCCAGTAAAGAAGACCGGATGGCCTTATTCTTTAAAGCCAACCACCTCTTTTGAGTGGTGAGTGGTCGTGGTTTCACTTTACATATCATGCCAGCTAGAAAACACGCCCGTTGTCGCGCCTGTCAAACTTAGGAAAAAGGAGCAGGGAGATCTCGTGGCAACCCCCCCCCCCCCCCGGAAACCTCAATCTTTATGGCACAAACGGAGACGTGGCTGCCTGAGTCAAAATGGTTGACTCCCTTCTATGCAATGTTTTGCAATCCCCCCTCCCCCATGAATGATGCAATGTCCTGCATGTCCCCCCTCTCCCAACCTAATGTGGGATCTTACCTCAGCACTGCAGGCCAAAAAAAGTGCTTTCAACGGACCTTGGTGGTCTCAAGAATGATTGCTGCTGCCGACCACCTGGGAAGGTTTCGCGGCTTTGCTTGTTTCTGAAAGCATTGCGAGACATGGTGCAATGAGAAATTAGCTCCGAGGCACATGTGCTTCCTCCTGAAGTTCGCGTACTTCAGCTTGTTACGATACAAAGATCCAGAGATGTTGATGTCCTCTGCGCGGACGCACACCACATGCCTGGCGCGTCTTTGGCTACGCCGGCCACAAGAGGCTCCGTTTCATACAACTTCACACACGCGCGCGCACGCGTCTTCTATGTACTTGTGGGTATGGCAGGCAGAGCTTCTTTGAAATGGTCAAGGACACTCTAGGTGGTGCATACCCTGATCTCGCTCACCGGAACGAACAGGGATTGGTTGCAGCAAGGGGAGAATCACTGTCTCATCGAATGATCCTGAAAAAGAGGGTCCTCATTCCAAAGGCCTCTCTGATCTTTGATCGCTTCCCTGAATATTCTGGAACCTTCAGACACTCTGGCGGTGACAGGTGGTCCTGACAGTTGTCTTCTTTTGTATATGTTTGTTCCAAGCTGATCCTTGGCTAAACACGTTGCTGAGCTGGTACTCAATTGGGGGCAGCCTCCAATCTTCTTCTGAAAGGGCCTCCCCCAGACAGCCTGCAAGAGACAGGTGGTGCCTGAAAGTATTCTGAAAGGGCTTGTCCCCAAATGGCCATGGGTCAAAAGCCCGTAGCTGCAGTGAACATCCCAATCCAACCATAGGAAGCCTAAAATGGGTGGTGAATTCACCCAATCCAACCAAAATGGGATCCCAAAACGGTTTTGACCACAGCCAAATCTCCCCGAGGTCCCCCCAAATCGTCGCTGTTTTTTAATCTGAGGCCCCATCTGTCCGTTCAGAAGCTCCTTGGCGAGCACCGAGGCCAAGCCTAAAATCGAGCTGTAAAACGCGAATTGGCCGTCTCTCCGCTGGTGGAATTGGCGGTCAGTGAGCCAAAGAACTGCAGCAACAACACATGGCTGTGGGTCAAAACCGTTTTGGGTCAAACCCAGTTTGGTTGGTGGGTGAATTCGCCACCCATTTTAGAACCTATCTTAGTGGGGATTGGGATGTTCACTGGGGGTACGGAATTTTGACCCACAGCCATCATGTTTCTCTTCTTGCCTTTTCCAAAGAGGAAACGCTTGGAGGGAAGTTGTGCTTTTTGCCCCCGCCCCGATCCCAGTTCGTATCCAAACCGTGGCAGCTGCAAAAAGCTGAAAACCCCACGCCACTCCACCAGCTCCCGTCTTCCGCCAAGCCACGACCTAGGAGATGGCCCCGGCAGTCCACGACGATCTGGCAACCCGCGGGGCCCGTACAACAAAAAGCTTGTGACTCCGCTGCGAGAAAACAAGCCCGTACAAGGACAAACATGACGTCACAGGCCACTAAGTTGGTTCACTGTTCACATAAACTTGGTTGCAGCCGCGTTGGGAAATTGAGCACAAGTGGAGCTGGTCGCGGAGTCGGTATTTGGCGGGCTCTCAGACTCCTCCGGCAGATTCTCGTAAACAGAAAGAAAGAGGCTTTCCTGAGTTCATTAAAAATGGCGAAGCTTCTGGTGCCAACATGTAAACGGCGGTAGGCTGTGCTGAATGGCGCACATTGCCTACATGTCCTTTCGGGCAAAAAAGGCATTGGAACCTGAACCAAGGCTGGAGTCGGGTCCCCGGTCCGCACCTGCTCTTTGAAGGACATGGCGGCACAGCCCGAGAAAAATCCAAATCCCGGAGCCTTTGAGCTGGACAGAAGCAAGCGCAGTAAGACCCCGAGCCTCTTGCAACAGAAACCAAGGAATTCGCATGAACCCAGCTACCACTTTGGCAAAATAAGCAGCAAACACAGGTAACACCTGAATGTTGAGAAAAATGCTAGCAGCCACTATCACCTTTCTGAATGCTAGATATTTGCAAGGCCACTCATTGATCTGTCAAAAGTGGTGAGGAGCCCAAGGAATTCCTTCTGCTTCCAGTGCCCGGGAGGTGCTCCTCTATCTTGGGAGGGAGTGAGAGAAGATTGCGAGTGAGCGAGGGAGATAGCAACCGAGAGATGGCGAGGGAGAGGGAGGAGGGCGATACGCTCTGAGATTAAAAAAAAGAGCTTTGAATGACGTTTGCGCGAGCCAGAGAGGCTAGAGTAGAGCAAAGCTACACCAAAGCAATGCAAACGCCAAAGCTGGTATGAACCTCAATCATGCAAACGGAATCCTGCCTATCATCCTGCGCACCCACCCACCATGCTGGAAAGCAAGCCATGCGTGGCACAACAAGCTTCCAACAAGGGCAACAAACACTAGGAGAGGCTACCGGACTCACAGCCGTTTCCATATCCGGAACGGTTGCCACGTTCTCGCCGCGCGCAATGGGCAGCCCATGGGTGGCCTACTGGGCCCCGACAGAACCCATGTCCCACAGGCCATCGATCGGCTTTTGCTTTTCCTGCCTGGAGATGTTGCAATTCTCGGAGATCGAGGCGGCGCAGTGAAACCCGGTCGGGCGGCCGGCGTGCATGGCTTACCCAACAACGTTTGGTCTGATCGTGAGAAGCATGGAGGACTGCTACTCACTTGATGGAGCCTACTACTCATCCAAAGCTCCACAAGATCCGGACATTACAGCTTATCTCTGAGCAAATGGAGCCTCTCCGGACGCAGTTGGGTCAGCATAACGGAGGCGTGCCTACTCTGGCAGATCTGGTCAACCGCCTTTCGGCGATGGTGAGAGGGTGAAACGTCCTCACTGGATGCGCTCCACGTGAATGTCCTGCCAGGGTTAACAAAGGGCTGACCCCCTTGATTGCCTTCAAACACGCCCTCGTGTAATTTGAACTCATGACCGGCATCCAGGATGTGCTGCTGAGTTGGATGACCAATCCATCAAGACAACCATTGCTTGATTGGCAAACTTCGCCCACGTGTGCTGCAAGACTCTGTCTGCGCATGTTCTACAGAAACAACAAACAAGATCACAGAACAACAACGCGGTAAGCAGATCTCATGGAGTAAAACCTTTGTTCAGGCTGCCCCCATTGACCTCACAGCTTGCTGCGTTCCGCACACACATTCTCACTTGCAGGGGTTCAAATGCAGCATCCTAATGCGAGTCGCTCAGCGTGGCTGCTCAACAACCACAAACGAAAACATGGTACTGAACCTATAGACAAGTGGCAATGGCTCAAAGACATGTACCCAAATTTGGCATGGTGAATGGAACCAAAGACTAAAGCCTGCGTAACCCTGGCTCATTAATTTTGAGCCACACCCAAGTGGCACCAGCGCGCAATGAACAGTGGCCGCCCCTAGGGGTTGGCTCTGACTCGGTGGGCACATGTGATTCTCCAGGGTGATCCTCTGCAATCTCCAGATGCCCCTCCAGTACCAAAATTTACAAAAGCATGTTTTGCGGCAAAACCATGGGGCCCTGCTCAGTCCTGGGTGCTTTGACAGTCAGCTGATAAACACGGAATATTCGCTCAAATGAAGGCATCACTGTCCAGCCAAATGTCGCATGTTGTATCAGTGAAACAAGCTTGGAAGCACGTCTGTGGAAAAGATGTGATGGACAAGTCAGCCGAACAAGCAACAAGGAGGCCAAGAGTGCGGGAGCGAAAACAGGCTCCAGGCGCTTTCTCAAGGCAAGGTAGGACAGTTGGCGGTGGGTTTCGGCGCCAAACACAAATCTATGGAGGCGCCATTTGCGACTGAGGTATGTTTATATCTCTGAGGGTGGTTTGGTTCAACGTGTTCAGGTATATCATAACCCATGCCCTTCGCCACACTTTCTATGAGTTCAGCTCGGGGCTCATGAGGCGCCTCTCAGCGGATGTCAGGCCAAACCCTTCAGGTCTTCAGCGCCTTTTTAGGAATGCGGGAGGTTGAGTCCTTGTCCGTTCTGTTCAACCATCGTTCTTTTCAAAAACCGGAGCCGTTTTCCCCTGGGATTCTGGAGGTTTTCTAGAAAGAAGGATCCCTAGAAAGAATGGAAAAGGTGCCTTGTTTCCGGGGGAAGCCCAACAAGATGATTGGATAGGGGAACTGCAGGACCTGACTTGTTGCAATCGCCTGGCCGAACGTGACGTCGATGCAGCTCCGGCACGACCAGTCCCGACACCCCCCCTCCTTTTTCCTTCTGCCGGGCCACCTGAAGAGCCGAGAAAAGCGGCTAGCTGAGACCCTGTTCCAAGCAGCTCTGTATCGTTGGAGTCCCAGTTGGGCGGAAACGGCTCAAGGCGTTATCTTGGCACAAGGCTACCAGTGGCGGCCATATACTCCTGGTAGCCCGGGACCTCGCGATACTTTCGCAGGCTGTCCTGGAGGCAAATGTTGGTTGAGATTAAAGGCTGATGTGGTCCTGGTCCATACGCACTGCGATTTTAAAAAAATGTGCAAGTGTTGGCTTATGGGATTTATTCGGCTCAAAGGGCTTCCTGCACATCTACTACAATGTTCAACAATGGCAAATCGGAAAGAAGCAAGCCACTGCAGCCTTCGACGATCCTATGCAACACATAAACAAGGTGAGATCGGTTTACTTCTCAGCAGAGCCTGACAAAACAATCACATCAAATTCATCTATTTACCAGGAATCAAGCGTGAGCAGCTCAAGTTCCCCTAACCGCAGCTGACCTTGACATCAGCAAACGCCAGAAGTGTTACTTCACTGTTGCACAATTTGGCTTGGCTCCAGCATCCCCGAACATCCAATTGAGTCATAATCAAACCCGGCATTAACATGGTCTACCCAGAACCATGTAAAGAATTAAGAAGGCCACAGCTATTTATGGTTGGGATTGTCCCTTACTAAGCTTCATCTGCCCGGTTTTGATTGCGGCTCAATTGATCCCACTCCTCGTCCAGGCGCGCAGCCGCGCCCACCATGACCCAGCACATAAATAGCGGCCCCCCAGCTAGGAAGGCCGCTCGCCGGATCCACGGCGAGGAGCTTGCCAGGCAGGCGCCTGGCCAGAGTGGAGCTCGGCCCATTTTTGGGCACCAGAAAACAGCGCGGGGCCACGGTTGTTTTTTTGTGTGGGACATGTTCCAAAATCGGATCCTGTAGGCCACGGTTCGGCCATCATACCCGTGCAACCAGGTGCATTGATGCATAAAGCCTCGGACTGCAGAGTGCTTGAAGAACACCGAACTCGAACAACCAAAGTCATCCCGGCCATCGTAGGGGCCCTGCAAATTCTAGAGGTCTGATTGTTGAATGAGTAAGCCGCTACATTGCATTGAAACCATCAATCAGCCCCCTCAACACTGTTGTTCCATCAGCGGTCAATTCCAGCTGGGTCAATTCCAAAACGACACCGAACTCGAGGCCCCGGCGGACCTGCCTGAAACGCCCAGCCAAAACAGTATCTCCCCCAGGTAGTTGGGATGCCGAATGATGCTGAACAGCCCGGTGGTGACCGGCATCTCTGGATTCTCTGCTTTCGCGGCCAGCTTCTGCTCATCAGACAGCGCTTCCAGCAACAGGCCGCAGAAGGCGACGGAGAGAGCCGCACTGATTGTCCTCCGCGATCTGCTGGCGCAGATCATGTCTAAAACGTATAGAGTAGCTTGCTGCACGGCGGAGACGAAGAAAACAATGTTCAGCTTTACCATCAGCGGCGTTGAGGACATGCGTCCCTCTAAATTCTGGCCATGTGTGCTGGAGATGAAGGAGTCGTCGTGCTGGCGCCGGTACAAGTACCAAGTCAGCCGTAGGCCGTAGCATGCATAGAGGCTAGCAGCCAGCAATGAGGAACCTGGACGAGCTTTGTGGACGAAGTAGGCCAAACAACCTTGAACGAACATCGAAATGCCATAGCCATAGCCAAATGCATAAATGACCTTGATCAAGCCGCCAGAACAGCATAGCATCAGAAAGGGCCAAGCAGAGATCGGCCAGTTCCGCAGGAATGCGGACTGGACCTGCTTCAAGTCGTGCATGCTGCCACTCACTTCCTGGCTGGATGAACAAAGACTTGAGCCACCACTGCTAGCAGCACATTGTGCACTTGCTGTCCATTACCTGGAGTGTCAATGCCCTCAAGTACGCCCAGCAGAACAACATGGAAGCTGGGACCCACAAATGCAAAAATTGGCGTGGCATGTTGGCTGTCAACAAGTTTTCTCTCGCCCAGATTCTTTGAATTCCATGTTCACCTGCGCAAGAGTCGCATCGTCCATCCTTCAGCTTGGACAGGCAAAACTAAACAAACGGGCTTCAGGTCAATCCCAAGGAGGATATTGTTGACATCGAAGCTGTCGAGACTATGACCACTTCCAATGATTTCATCCCTGTTTCATAACATAGAACTTTTTAGTTAGAACAGATTCCATGCTCCCCTACACCTGGCAGCCTACCATGAGCCATATATCCGCGAGACTTTGGAGATTCACGTAGAACCCTTGCTCGGCTCCCGGCTTGCCCCCTGCTATGGCAAACACCCCTGCCGGTCCCTCGTGGACATAAAGGAGATGCTGAAGCGCCCGGTGTCGCTGGAGGTCTTTAAGCTTGGCACCTCAAACAGAAACTGTGTCAGCCACTTGGATAACAAGTTGAAGCCATGCTTAATTGTTGTTGCTAGCCGCGACCTCCTGGAATATTGCATTTGTGTTGCTCGCTCGCTCTCGGCATTCTGGGTGAGGGGGGGAGAATTGCGCTTCTTGGTTTTGCTCATGTCAGCACGCGCTCATGACAGCGCTGGCTTTTCAAGCATGGAGACTCGCAATGTCACCGCCCTCTGCCATGTTGTGCTACTTCCTTTGCCGAGGCGCCTTGCGTTACGTCTGCGCAACTTTCCAAACTCTGCGTCAGCATCTTTGCAAATTGCCTTTTACATGTAGTGAGTGAACTGTATTCAGGCCCGCGCGCAAAGCTTTCCAAGCTCTGATCCCTTCAGTTACATGTGGAGATGCAACCGCAAAGATGTTTACGCAGAGCTTGGAAAGCTGCGCAAACAGACACGAGGCGCCTCGGCAAGGCGGGGAAACATGTTCCGCTGCGGTCGCTCTTGAATCCCCTTGTAAACGGCCCCAAAAAGCTCCAAACCCTGTCGCGTGTTTGCCACTTTTGAACATGACGCACCCCACCCACTTAAAGTAAAACGAACTCCCTCGTGGGATTTTGACACGGCACCATGATGACCGCGCCAACGGAGTGGAAGGTCAGTAACAACGCCGGAACCTTGTTGTTGCTAGGTGGGTTGTATGTAGGGCACTTGCTTGCTATAGCTACCTGTATCTTACCACGTCTTACCACTTAATACCACTGCTCACCACATCTTACCACATCTTACCACTCACCGTCCTGTTCAGCCGTAGAATCCGAAGGTGCAAAAGGACTAATATCGAGCACAAAGTTCGAGCTTGCAAACGGTCGTCAGCCAAGCCACAAGTTGACACTGAATGCTCAGCTGCCTGTGTAGCCGTTTCGGAACAAACTTCTCTCGTCATTGTCAGAGCGCAAAATGAACATGAACTTCTCCGCCAGCTTTGGGAGTGTTTGCCGGTTCTGTGCCCATTCTCAATTTTTAAACTGGCCCGTTCTCCACTATAGTCTGCACGAAGCTAGAGATCATGCACGCACCAAACAATCCTTTGCTCTCTTCGGCCTGCGAATCCATCTGACAACTTAGTGTGCAATGTAATTCCCTACTTTATGCCCGAGAGCTGAGCGAGCTCCTGTTGAACAGTTTGTTTCCTGAAGGGCAAGTGAGCAAGGTCTGAAGTGAAGCTGGAGACTAACAAATAGATTGTTCCAATTCACAACCCTCCCTCGAAACAAAACCTCAGAAGTTCATACCCTACACACACACCCGCAGCCCACGCCAATATCCCTTCAACGGTTGCGGTGCCCCACTGTAACCTCGCCCGGATGTCCACTGATCCAATCCAGAGAAGGGTACATGCCATTGGCCATATGTGAGTACCCGACACAATGTCACAATTACCTTACCCCTTAAAACTCCAAGCCCTGGGGAAGTTAATATTTTAGAGACATATAGCCCATGTTACCCAAAAAGTTGAAAAGTTGTGTTTTTAAGAGGTAAGTTACCGCAAGAAGCTGATACATTCTAAGCCAATACCCATCAACCGGTATAACTGACGACGTGGTACACTGAACCCACGCCCCAGGGCCCCAGTATGTGCTGCGTTGCTGCGTCCGCCCCTGCTCGCCCCGGCGAGAAAGGAAGGAACAGTGGACTTTGCCAACAACAATCGGACACACTCAATCTCTCCTGGGACATTGTTTAAGTATTGTCTTTTTGGGGGTGTCTTTGGTCCCTGCGTTTCCCGCCAACAAACAGAAAAACTGAGGGGACAGCCCCTGCTTTCAGAGTGCATTTCACGCCGTCCCCCCGGTCAGATTTGCTGCTGGAAGGGTAGAACGCTCCGAGGTGCTACGATCAGCGGCGCCCCACTCTCCGGCATTTTCAACACAGCTCCAACCTGGGCAGTTCGGATCTCTCTCTGTGGAACTTGCCTGCAACCGCTTTGCCTAGACATTTCGCGATCTTGCGGACAAGACATTCTTGGCGGGGGTAAAAAAATAGCCAGTCACATCACAGGCTCCCCAGAAAGCGGTTCTCCTGGGAAGTGAAATTGGCTCCGGTTACATAACAGGTCCAACCCCCCCCCCCAATTTCACCTTGCTCCTCCCAAAAAGCAACCCAAAATCAAGCAAACTGCCTAGGGGGAGGGCAATCCTCCACAACAAGAGTCTGAATTAGTGTGGTGCTGGTTTCTGTCTGCCACTGTGCCGAACCCGAAGCAAGCTGGTGAACCTGCACTAGCTTCTAGGACCGCCCTGGAGTTTAAGACGCTGATATTGAGCAAAGCATTTGCATTCGATAGCTGCCAATACAGACTCCATGCCTGCGCCACTGCATCACCAGCCCATGCCAGCGCCAGGCGTGCAAACATTGTCTCCGCAAGCCGAGTTCCAAGTGCTGACGATGGCTATTTGCTCCCAGGTTGCCCGCATCTTTCAAGAACCCTTCTTCAGATAGCTGGCACCTTTAAGTGACCAACCAAAACCCAAGGAAAAAGACACACAGCAAGCACCGCCTCCGCCCGCCACGACGAAACGACTTCGGGCTCCGCGAAGTCGGAAGTCGCCTCCGCGGCGGAGGAGTACTCGCGGGCGGCGGCGCTGGAGGCGAGGACCTGGTGGAAGAAGGGGTTCTCCGCCAGCAGCCCGTCCTCCTCTGGTGCCCGGTTCAGTCTTCAAAACGCGCGGGAAAACCCGTGTGGAACAACCCCCAAAGATGAGGCTTCGAGTGGGAAAAAAACCAATTGGCTGCCAAATCCTGGCTTATGGAAGAGTTCGGTCGGTCTATGACGGCACCCGAAACGCGCAAATTCGCTTCCATGACAAAGGGCCTCCACTTGCATCCCCAAATAGAACACACATGCACACTTACTAGAAAGATGTGGCCAAACATTGATTGGACGTGGATTCAACCGGACCTCTTATGGAGATCAAAGGACAGTCCGCGGATCCATATGTCGCCTTCCGGCCTCTTTAACCCTGAGATTGCGCCATGGAGGATTCATCACAGGCGCCAAACTAATAAGATCTTCGCCAGATTTGATCCCGAGTGCATAAGTTCATGACCTCACCCGAGGACCAAACGATATCAGACATCTCCACAATTGTGGTAATGTGACTCGGTGAGTGTGGCCAGAATGACCCATTCTGCTTGTCCTTGCCTTTCTCCATAAATGATGGAGCTAGACCGTTGTAAGCATGGGCCAGGCAGCTGGAAGGCCTCTACATAGAACTCCCCCCAAAAAAGAGCTCAGGCGGCACAAGCACCTGAATCCGAAGCCACCGCTCACGAGCCCAAAGCACCGTGACGAAAACCAGCTGTTGGAAAGTCTACTGCGAATCCACGCCACGCTACCAGCGCGCTGGTAAATGCTGGTAATCTTCACTTCAGCCAAAATGTCGCTGCCAATGTTTAGGTCCTTTGAGCCGCCAAACTACACAAATGGTATGACCAAGATCGTGCAATGTTCAACATTGGAAGAAACTCTGGCAAAGCTGGCAGTATTTCAGCAGTTCACTCCTTCCAGCCTTCCAGTTTCCAACAAGTAGTACCGGCAAATCATGCCATTGGTTCCGCCCTTCTGATATCACGGACCTATGACGCATGGGCGAAGATTGAACCGAGCTTACAGAAAAAGCCACTCCACCATCTGCTGTCCACAAGGCAACCCTGAAGCAAGGAATGGCTGGTCCAGTGGTTGAGCAGCCAGTGAAGCTACGCGTTTTTGTGCACGACGGTGTCGCGCAGCTGTCCACAAACCTTTGGCACCAATACATGCATTCAGCTTCTTTTTACACACACACACACATATGAGGATGAGTCGAAATCCGCTTGGACCCTCCTTGGATCTGCACAATTCAGCACAATTTACCGAGCAACAATTCACGGAGCCAAGGAAGGAGGACACATACGCCCCGCAGTTTGGCCCCAAGCAGTTCCCTCGATACGCATGTGCGTGTCTGCTCCTGATGTGTCAGGACCAGTAAGGGACCCCAGCCAAAAGGTTGGGTTCATGTCGAGCTTAAAAAAACGGTCCAAAGAGGTCCGCCTCAGTTTGGCATGCCGTGGTACTGGATAGAACGACTCGTGTTGAGCGATCACCACCAGCCATCGCCGTTGCTTTGGCTGCCATTGTTCTCAGAGTCAAAGTCCGGCAATTCTGAACTAGTCTTCACTCACCTGAATTGAGGGATGCCTATCAGGGCTGTGAAGAAAATGCCCCCTGTGATACAACCAAAAAAGTGCTTCCCAAAGATCCCAGCCCACCCTTTTTTAAAGGGGGAGATTCCCTACGGGATTTTCCCCCGAGCGATCCAAAGCTCTGATTCCTATTAGGGACCTTGAGGGACCCGCTCCTCCCCGCGCTCCTCCTGGTTCCGCAGCACGTGCACGGCCGCCGACCCCGCCTGCCGGCCAGAGATATTTCTGGGCCAAAGGGATGGGAGAGGCGCGGCTTCAGGCCGCACCCCAAGCGGGAAAGGCGGAGAGTGAAGTTGCAAGGTGAGTCCCACCTCAAAACCTCGGTTGCAAACCTTGCTCCCCTTGCTAGAAGTGAATAACTTTTAGCGGCTTAATGGAAAACCCATTAGTTGGCAAAGAGTTAAAGTCCTAACATCCAAGCAAAATGCACCAAAGAAACCTGGTACTAAAATGGTCGATCCCCAGAACCATGTACAGGATTTAGAAGGCGGATATCCGCAGCTATTTATGGTTGGTATCATCCCTTACTAACCTTCATCTACCCGGGCTTTGATGGCAAGCTCAACAGGCTCCTCAAAACATGATGCGTGACTTGCGCATGACTTGCATAAACCATAACACGGATTCAACTTGCGAGTGACTGGCAAAAGCCGCTAGCTACACAAATGAACAGCTGACACGAAAAAGAAGCCGACAGCCGCCAAGAGGCTAGAACATCAAGTCACAGCGACCAGCACAACACCAATCTCCACAAATATTCGAAAATAAGATCATACATGGCCAATAAAACGCACTACTGACTTAAAGATACACACCAACATAACAATATGCAACACACATACACAATGCAGACATCGGCATCATGGTAGCAGCGCAAAAGTGAACGTGGCCATTCCAATCCGCAAACAAAGCATGCAATCGCGACGCACCCCCAACTGGGGCACCTTCGGCAAGGGCTGTGGCGTCAGGATGACAACCTGGGACAATCTGCCCATCTGCATGTCACCGCGGGAAAAAGAGGAAACAAAAGGAATCACAACAACCCGATTAAAAAAAAGAATAAGCACAAATGAAAGTAGTAAATGCCATCAACTGCAGGCCGACATGTTCAATTCAAGCCAGGATTCCACCCGATGCCAGCCTTTTTGCTGGAGCCAAAAACCTCTGTCGTGGTGGCCCCAAACACCGCAGGGGTCTTTTCGACTTTGGTGAAAAAGACATGAGCAGGGCACATGTGTGAAAGTGCATGGGTGAAGGGGGAAGAGCAGTTTTGCAAACATGTGTCAAATGCGGAGGAGTCAGAAGTAGCGACATGTGCAAGGACCAACTACAATTGGTTGACACATTCCCAACAGATCAATCTGGATGAATGATAGAGATTCACCCTCGGTAAATAAGAGAGTCCTAGTAATTTAAACTCGGGTTGTTGAACGCCTCCAGTGAGGTTGCTGCAAAACAAACCCACCACGTTGTGCGTGGCGAAAGGGGAAAAAAGATCCGCCGCTGGGGCTCCCCGGCCAGCAAAGGCGGCGGAGGGTTGTCCAGCTCCAGGACATCCTGATAGAAACTGTAGGGGTTGATTCCCCATTCTTTTGAACCATCGTTCTTTTCACAAACCAGCGGCTTCCCTGGGTGGTGGATGGTTTCCTGAAAGGAATGGGGAAGGTACCCCTAGAGAAACTGCTTTCCATCGTGGGCTTGTGACACCCTTATGTGGCTATGGGTCAAAACCAATGGGATCCCCTATTTTAGTGGTTGGATTGGGATGTTCACTGGGGGTACGATTTGGGTTTTGACCCATGGCCATGTCACTCAACCTCAAGTTGGCTGATTGCTTGAACACTTGAGCTGCCTTTGCCATTCTTGACATGTAATTGGCATTTCTTATCGCCATGTTCCAGCAATTGACATCACCGCGAGGAAAAGAAAGACAAGGGCGAGCTCCACCGCAGAGCTTTCAAAAGGCTACGTTTACGAAAAATAAGCACCAAGCCTTTGCCTCCGAGAAACGAAGCAATTGATAAGCTAAGTTCGGCACTTCAAGGCAGCTTCAATGCCAGCTGTTCACAAGTGAACCGTCCAATGTGCACTGTGGTTGCTCAACTCCTGCATCGCGATGTTTCAGCACACCATATATTGCAAGCGTAGTACAAAAAGTACACTTTGGCAAGGCAAAAGGGCATCGCAAGGACAATACAAGGACTTTTTTGGATGACTCCCATGTGCGTATCCCTCAAGGCTTGCCAATTGTTGCTGTATACCACTGGACAATAGATATGCCCTCAATTGAACAAACACGGCAAGCACTATACGGTCATAAATCGGCTGGGGGAATAGCGCCTAAACCTACCTTGCATGTGGAAATCGGAGCAACGCTTCGGGCTCGGCATGGCTAGGCCGGAGGCTCAAGTCTTCCTGTAATGCTGCAGAACCAACTTGCAACTTGCTCCCGAGGTAAATTTGCGGATGGGGCCTCAAAAGGAATTCGACGGGGGACACTTTGTGTTTCAATGAGCAAAAGGAAACAACCAGACTGCCCAACGTATCCCTGTGCTTTCCCCCATCCCTGGCACCCCGCATGCCCACGCAACAAACACATGCAGTGCCCGTACTGCAGTGCCCTGCCCTCCAATTGAGGGGTGCCGAAAATCGGGTACATAAAACACTTTACTAACAAACCGCTTTCGCGGAACCTTTCGCGATGCTTTCGCGACCACACGTTTCACTTTCGCGGGCATGTGTTTTGTAATAATCACTTTCGCGGAGCCTTCGCGGGCAACACAGAAACTGCAAGCATGCACTTTCGGGACGCTTTCGCGGCGGGCTCTTCTTCAGGCACGTTCGCCGCAAGTCTTCACGGTTTGGTTTTCGCGCCCTGCGTTTTAGCTTTCGCGAGCCTTCGTTAGGAGAGGCCCCGAAAAAACTCCATTCATAAGGGTTTTTGGCACTGCCCAAGTCTTGATGGCAACACGTTGGCCTGAATTACCGGTGTCCCTGGCTGATCCTTAGTATTCCTTTGCCCATGAGCTGCAGGAACACTGACAGGCTTAGTCTCCGTAGCATAAGGATGGTCCGAAACAAGAGAACAAATATCAGAAAAACTTAGCAAACGTCCCAATTCGGAAGGTCCCTACATTCCAAGTATGACTGGAAAACCGCCCACAAGAACGACGGATCGTTCTGGCAGCGCCCGAATCCCACCTCCTTGGACTTGCGGACTGCTGCGTGGAAGGACACGAACTCCTGCCCGGCTCGCCGAGAACGTGCCACACCAAAAAGGACGCCTGTTGGATTGGCCAAAACACGTCCAAACTTTGCGTTTACCAATAAAATGTTCTTCCCAAACAGCAGTAAAGTTCGGGAACTCGGGGAGTGAGGAAAGAAAAGGGACACCCAAGGCGCAAGTTCCAAGAACTTGGTCGGACCGCCTCACGGAATCTGCTTCAAGATTCGCGTCAAGACTGTCAGACTGTGTTTTTTTTGAGTTTTGAAGTTGTCGCGAAACGGAGGCCGCGCAAAGCAGCGGCGTGTAGGAGCCCCGGCGACAGTCGCCACACTCCCGTTCGCGCCTCCCAGGTGATCTCCCGGTCCGCGTCGCTATCCATGGACTGCCGAAGGCCGAAAAGCCGAGGCAACAGTTCTGGTCATTCTTGCGACGGACGCGCAAAAATTAAAGAAAAGGAAGAATTGAGGTCCACTCAGGAGTTGCGCCAGCACGGCTAAGTTGAATGGAATCATGTGAGCTGTGACTTCCTGATCAATCAAACATGTGATCCATTGCTGGATCAGAGCTGATCTTGCCTTTGTGCAATCGCTTACAAGTAGTTTCTTGCGACGTGCTTCAACTCAAACCGGCAAAAGGCAAAAGGAAGGAAAGCGCGTGCGCTTGCATGGAGCGATTTGGAAGCATTGACAGCAACGTAGAAGCTGACACCGCTTTGTGCTGAATTGAATGAATTGTCAAAGTTCTGCCCAACCACCTCCAGACCCTAGTCAAGCCTTAACACACGAATACTCAAGAACAAACGACCCTCATCGCACAGAACTGACTTCTTCGGGTATTGTGGGGTTTGCTCTCGCGCTTTTCCTTCCCAATCATTCACGGATGACGCCTCAGTTTCGGATGTGGGGTTCTTTATTTGCAGCTTCTTTCCGACCTGTGCCGCGCATATTGATGCTCTGGCCTGTTGCACTTCACTCTGGCGATGTGCGACATTCTGGCCAGATATGGACTCCCGCAAGAGCAGGAAGGCAAGCTGAGTCTGGCAAAGTCTTTTTCCCCGTGCGAGGTGAAACAATGTCTGCTTGCTTGGCCTAAGACGCGGCTCCAGCTGGTAGCACGAATCCATAGCAACCTGCCTCGTGTGTCTTCTTCCCTCACCCAGTCCACGTCCTTTTGGCTGTATATGTTGATTTCATCTGCATCGCACACAGTTGTTTGGCTTCTTCCTCTGCAGATGGCCTTAAAGAAGCAATCAAGCTACTACTTGATTGCTTCTTTAAGGCCATCCACGTTTGTCAAAACCCCTTTGCCCTGAAACGCGTCGTCGACGACCTTGAACTCCTTGCGGTCAAGGCTTCTCAGCTGACAGACCCACACTGCAGTGGTTTGTTGCAAGGCGGCACTGCCTGCAAAGAACTGTCGCCACAGCTCCTTTTCGGGCAGCTCGGGCGTTCCCGGCGGAATCCTTTCCAATCGTTCGCTGGGCCGAGCTGTCCATGACGTCCGCATTTAGCATGGTTTCCACCAAGCTGAAAGCACGTTGTCGCAAGCACAATGGCACCAGTACCATCTCTTGCCCGACCAAAGTACACTTCTTGTGTGTCTCATTCAGTCTTGAGGCAAGATCTTGGTGTGTCATCCTGATATGGTTGACGCCTGTCGAAAAGGCCCTCAATCTTCCTCACAAAGTGTGAAGGCTGGCGTGAACAAGACACTCACAGGCCTACAACTGCCAAAATGCTAGACAAAGAGAGGAGCGCATTGCTTTCATGTGCATCATAGAAGTGCTTCGAATGTGCCATTGTGACAAGGTCCAACCCTACCCAGACACTGGAAACGGCTTGGACTGACAGCCTATGACAGAGGTGAAACCTTTCACGATGCTGACCCCGATCTGGACTGACTGAAATGAATTTGCCACAAATTGTCTCCTCCGCCAAAGCAGTGTTTGCGCAATCCTTCGACATGGTCACCAGACTCTTGCACTGCTGAGGAATGCAACGTCTGCGCAGCAATGCGTCAAACAGATGCACAGCGCAACGAAGTGCACAGCATCTGCTCCCACTGAAAAGAGCCTTCTTCTTGTCTACCTCGATGGCTGAACACATCCACTTGAGCCAAGTTGGGTCTGGCAAAGTGCTGCCTCGGTGGTGCGGCCGTGCTTGCTTTTCTGGAGGCCTTTTAAGAAGCCCAGCTACAGTCAGATGGTGTTGCTTGGAGCTTTCTGGTACGTTTTGCCTCACACTCACTATCACCTATTGCTCCTCGTCTAGTCCTACGTTCACTTTCTGCGTCGCTTAGGGGCATCCTTCTCCAATCTGAACTCAATTCGAACTCCGACGTTCACGGCGCCTGGAAGAGCCGCTCCATGGCATCTCGGGAGCCATCCTCCTGGGAATAAACGGGTCGACCCGGCTCAAGGGAAGACCTCTCACTCTTTGGTGAGTATCCATATTCATCCATCCCCAAGAGAACTGTCACAGAGCCAAGTGAGCATGAGCACCAATTTTCCTTCCCAAGATTAAATCGTGGCTTTTTCTGATGGCCTCTCATGGCTTCCCGAATTTTGCAATCACCGCCGTCCAGAGATCATCCCTGACACAGTCCAGCACTCTTGGTGTCAAACGCTTTCCACAGAGAAAATACCTGGAAGCCTCCCAACCCCCCACTAACATAGACCATTTAGCCTGACTTCTGCCGCCACGATTACGACTGGGAGAGTCCAGTTGCAAAACCAGTGAGGTCGCTCAGGGAAAATGGATCTCGGGGGAAGTGCAGGGACCCACAAGCCCGGATGAAAACCCCGAGCCCTGTGCGCTTTGCGTAAAAGCGGTGCACCCAAGGCACAACCATGATTTGCAACAGCAAACGTGTTCAAGCTTCTTCCTGCTCTGAGATAGTGTCATTCTGAAATTCTCATGGTTTTGCATTCCCTGTACTCCCCCTATTTTGGAGGATCGGATACAGTATGTGGCAGAAAGTGCTACATTTCATGAACTTTGCACACACGAGGTGGTACAGCTCCAGCATCCGATGAGGGGCGAGTGACCACTGTGGGCTTGAACTAGAGGTTACTCACCGCGATGATAACTCCTGCACCTGAGTCCTGAGTTCGCACAACACCGGCCAATGTTCATGAACCCGATTCCCGCCACCGAAAATGGCCTACTAGTCGAGTGGTCGGGTCCGAAATGGCAGTCCTGTCGGATCTCCATGGGAAGGCCAAAGAACTCGGCCATCTTGGCGTCGCGGCGGATGGCTTTGATGAGCTCCCGCTTGTTCACCTGGGATTTCTCGCCGCCCCGAGCCCAAGGGCCGAGTGGAAGCGTGGCCATCGTGCGTGTTGGGTGCAGTGGCCCGGTGAAGCTTGGGTTGTGGGAACAACTACATTCTGGATGGACATGAGCTTGCTGGTGGACCAAGCAGCTAAGCAGGCAATGCTGTGAACTCGCATCCAAAGCACATCTGTCCAAAGAACTTACATGGGAAGTCTGACGTTCAGGCACCTATTCCTGTGTTTTCCACGTTTGACGTGCCTGGTGCACCATGCATCCCCATGATAGAAAAGTATCTGTATCCGGGATAAGACAGCTCTGGCAAATGAAATCTGTCTGTTCAAAGACCGTATTATTTTGCGTATGCTGCACATGTGACTGGCCTTGCCAGCCCTTCTGCCAAAGCGGCCATGCCGTTGCGTTGTACATCGCAGCTGTCGAACACCGCGCCTGAGCTGCAATCCGCAAGTGATGCCATTTCCAGTGATGCCTGAGAACTCGATCCCACACCTTTGCGAGCGCTTGACGCACAATCTGACAGAAGCAACGCGCAGCAACTTGGCTGTGGGTCAAAACCAATGGGACCTGATTTGGGTTGGTAGGTGAATTCACCACCCATTTTAGGCTTCCTATTTTAGTGGTTGGATTGAATCGGATGTTCACTGGGGGCTAACCGACTTGGATTTTGACCCATGGCCATTTGGTTTCAGCTTCGATCGTGAGCGCCGAGAGGCGCAGCTTGGCCTTGTCCAGCCGGTCTGACGCCGCCAAGGGCGTGCCCGGCGCCGTGTTGGGCCGGGCCTGCATCGCCACGAGCTCCCGGGAAGACCTCGGGAAGCAGAGCCTTTGATCGCGAAAGCCATGGAAACTCTGAGCATGCCCTGAAGGCGACATCCTTGATGGCTTGGACTCTGCGCTGAGACTTCACGAATGCACTCGCCACCTTTTTGACTTGTTTGAAGGCTGCAGTTGTGCTTGCGCGTTCAGGTACGTTTAGGTTGAAGTTCATCTGCTCAGGAATCTCTGCCTATTTGTTCTGCAGCGGTTCTCAAAGGCCATACGAAGACTTGAGGACTATGATCCAAAGAATTCCCTAAGGTTCGAGCGGGAGACATGTGGATGTCGTTTTTTAGGGGACCCCTAAAATGGTGAGCTTCCTTTTGGTGTTCCTTTAAAACCACCAAACAAGAGGTACCCTCAAAAAATACAGACCCACATGTGCGCGCGCTGAAGCGCGTGGCAAGGCGCAAGGAGGTCCCCGGCGGCGTTCGCCCTCTGAGCTCGACGGGGATCGACTCTGGCGCCTCTGCCTTACGGATTGCTTGGTTGTCTACTTGATCTGTTGGTTGGTAGGTTGGCTGGTTGGTTGGCTGGCTGGCTGGCTGGTTGGTTGGTTGGTTGACTACCTTTTTGGCTACTTGGTTTGGCTTGGCTTGGTTTGGCTTGGTGTGGCTTGGATGGCCAAGTACTTAGTTAGTTTGTTGGCCTGGCTGGCTGGCTGGGTGGTTGGTGAGTGGGTAGGTAGGTCGGTTGGTGACTACATGGTTGGTTGCCTGGTAGGTTGGTTAGTTGGTTGACTACTTGGTTTCTTTGTTGGACTGTCGGTCGGTTGGTTGATAGGCTTTGTTGGTTTGATTTGTTGTGTTGGGTTTGGCTGGTCGCCTACTTGGGTTTATTGGTTGGTTGGCTGGTTGGTTTCATGGTCGGATGCTTGGTTGGGTTGGTCAGTCGGTCAGTCAGCGGTCGGGTTAGTTGGCTGACTCCTTGACTTGCTGATTAAGGCGTTGATTGATTGATGCCTGGATTGATTGATTGGTTGATTGATTGATTGATTGATCGATTGATTGATTGATTGGTTGGTTGGTTGGCTGGTTGGTTGGTTGGTTGATTGATTCATTGATTCATTGATTAATTGATTGATTGCTTGATTAACTGACTGACTGCCTGTCTGATTGATTGATTGATTGATTGATTGACTGACTGACTGACTGATTGACTGCCTGACTGACTGACCGATTGATTGAATGATTGAATCATTGAATGATTGAATGATTGAATGAGTGAATGAGTGAATGAGTGAATAAGTCAATGAGTGAATGAGTGAATGAGTGAATGAGTGAATGAGTGAATGAGTGAATGAACGAACGAACGAACGAACGAATGAATGGATGAATGAATGAATGAATGAATGAATGAATGAATGAATTGCTTTCTCGCTTGCTTGCTTGCTTGCCTGCCTGCCTGCCTGCTTGCTTGCTTGCTTGGCCAGCCCCCAGCCAGCCAGCCCCCAGCTAGCCAGCCAGCCAACCAACCAACCAACCAACCGCGTAGTGATTGACCGATTGACCAACCGATCCACCCACCCACCCAGCCCAACCCAACCCAACCCGGCCCAACCCACCCACCAACCGACCGCCCCCCACCCACCCGCCAACCACCCAGCCAGCCAGCCAACCAACAAACCAACCAAGTAATCAACTAACCAAACCAAACCAAACCAAACCAAGCCAAGCCATACCAAGTAGTCAACACAGTAGTCAACCGACCTGCCTACCAACCGACCAATAGACCAAGTAGGCAACCAAACGGTCCGTAAGGCTTGCTTGCGTGCTTGCTTGACTGCTTGATTGCCTCCTTGCTCGCTTGCTTGCTTGCTTGCTTGCTCGCTTGCTTGCTTGCTTGCGTGCTTGCTTGCTTTCGTGCTTGCGTTCTTGCTTGCTTGCTTGCTTGCTTGCTTGCTTGCTTGCTGGCTGGCTGGCTGGCTGGCTGGCTGGCTGGCTGGCTGGCTGGCTGGCTTTCATTGCTTGATTGCTTGAGTGTTCTTGATTGCTTAAGAGCTTCCTTGATTGCTTGATTGCCTGATTGATTGCTTGCTTTCTTTCTCCTTTCTTGGTTGGTTAGCTGGTTGGTCGATCGGTTGAGGGAGGCGCAAAGAAGCCTGCTGCACCCACCAACCCCACGTTGCCAAGACGGACTCCTTTCATAGTCCCAGGCGGTGCGGTTCCAGCAGGGGAGAAATAAACAATAAACAACACAACTTGCACTACCTTCCGAGCGCAGTCTGTCCTATTGCTCAGACAGAGGCGACAAAGGACAGGTCCAAAACCGGTGGTTCCAAAACCTCAACCTTGAACGGGGCGAGTAATTTATCAGGCGAGGACATTACCTAGTGCGCCAACTGAAAAACACGGGATGCAAACTTCTTGATGTGCGAGTGTTGCCTTCACCCGGCTATGTTCGCCTCAGTTTGTCCTAGATTCCTGGAACCATGTTTTCCCACTCGACTTTTGGGTTCTCAAGCTCCTCCCCCCTTCCCGCCTTGGTCCCCACAGATACCCGGAACTGGGGGTTCCGGTACCAGGAAAGCAGCGGCGCCTTGCTCTTGAAGCGACCCCCGCCCATGAAGACCCCGAAGGGCCGCTCCTGGCCGTCAAGCGCTCAAACGGGGCGGCTGAGTTGCGCATTCTGTAGACTATTTTGAGCTGCAGTTGTGCAGTCTATATATTCTATCACGTCATTCTAAATCTCTGCATTCTACAGAGTAGTACTTGTGGTCATGTGTAACACATTTTGCGACAAGGTTTAAGATGATGGGTGGATTGAATGGTTGGTTGCCCCCCCCCCCAAACAAGGCCCCTCACCCAACCACGACCAACCAACCACCTGTTTTCCAAAACCAAACAACTTTCGAAAGAATGGACATGTTGTTGCGCAACAACATGGTTCGCAACATGTCTGCTGCAGCAGCGCTGCTGCTGCTGCTGCTGCTGCTGCTGCTGCTGCTGCTGCTGCTGCTGCTGCTGCTGCTGCTGCTGCTGCTGCTGCTGCTGCTGCTGCTGCTGCTGCTGCTGCTGCTGCTGCTGCTGCCGCTGCCGCTGCCGCTGCCGCTGCCGCTGCCGCTGCCGCTGCCGCTGCTGCTGCTGCTTCTGCTACCTGCTACTGTTGCTGCTGCTGCTGCCGCTGCTGCCGCTGCTGCTGCCATGATTGACTTAGATGCCAATGCCCCGTGAATTACCTGGACATTTCCGTGTTTTACAGGCTGGAATGCTATGTTGGACCGTTGGAGCCTGAGTGTGCCACCACGTGTGTTGATTCATTTTGCACGCATACGTTCCGAAACAAGTTGAACACAACAATGCCAGCAATATGAGTGTTTATAAACTGCCTAACTGCAACGCAAACATGTGCTTGTATGTATTCGTGGCATGCACTAGCATACCTTGGATGAAACAATGGTATACCTTACTTGTAGCCATAGGGCTACGAGCAGGTGAGAACCTTACACTAACTTTAATCATGTTCTCACAAGATCACATTTGACAGCCATGCAGAATGACATGCTCGAGCAGGCCCTGGCTTCAGCGGAAAAACTTGTACATTTCCCGATTTTTATTTTTTTTGCAACATGTAGGTTTTCCTTTTGGGAGGCCTACCTACTATATATATATGTGTGTGTGTGTGTGCAGACCTTCTGCTGAAATGTCTTGCAGTTGCAAGCCAAATCAAGGCCCCAGCATGAGAGGCGGCAGTCACAGCTGAGTTGCTAAACTTTCGACCAAAAGTAGAGCCTGTCTCCCAAAAGTGTTGATTCTCAAGTGCGCAAAGGGGCTTGCAAGCATTCGACACGTGCTTCGAATACATCTTTCTGGCCCAAGTCACATCTAGTACGGCTTGGTATCCCTGCCTGTGCCCACTTGAGTTCGAACTTCTGGCTGGATTTGCTCGGCTCCCGGAGGTGGGGAGGTATCCTGCACACCGAAAGCTCAAAATGCCGAATGTCCAAAAGCCCAAAGGATCTGTGGAGCGATGCTTGAAAAGCACATCGAGCAACAGCCAGCGTGCTTGATCCTTCATCCTATGTGCAAAAAGCAGGAAAATAGTGTGTCGTCATTCCGGGCAGCAGGGCTTTGCAAAACATTGGCATGGCAGCCAGGGCTATGGCTATCAAGGACACAACGTTGTCTAGGCCTTGGTGAGAAACGTAAGCCGCTGACGAAGGCATGCCTGTGTTAAACTGACCTCCAGCTGCCGAAGGTAAACATGTCACAAGCGCAAAACAGCATTCAAGTGAAACCTCACCAATTTGACGATACACATTGTCCAGCCCACACCCACAGAAGTGAATCCTCACTGGCAAAAGCCCTGCTGAACCCTGATCAGCGCACAGCCGTTCACGCGAATTCCTCACTGCTCTACTTTGAGATCTGCGAGCTAAACCAGGCGTTGGAACTCTTTGTTGCTCTCATACATTCGCCGTGCCTTCAAGTCCTCTTGCAGCCACACAACCCAACTCGGCGCACCAACTCTTGCGAGCGGAAACGGGCCTCCGAAATCCTCTCCCTCTCCCCCCGCGCCTCACCACCTCCACTGACTCGGTGGCATTCACGATGAGCGTGAAGGGCCCCAGCTCCTAGGCCGAGCCACCAACGCCACTGGAACCACCAACCCCGAGTCGACATAAGAAACTCCTTGCCTCTTTCTCCCTCACACATTGGGGTGTTCGAATTCCCCCGAATCCGATTTTGCATCCTTGGCATCTCCTGAGCAACATCGCCAGCATCACCTGCATCATCCGCATGAGAGGATGCAAATGATGCAAGTGATGCTGGGGATGTTGCCCATGCTGGTGAAGGGAAATCTGGAAACGAACCAGGGAGGAAAAGGGAGCAGATCTCAAGGGGGGGAAAGGGGGGAAAGAATCTTAAGAGGGAAAGGGGGGAAAACATCTTAGGGAGGAAAAGGGGGAAGGGGGGCGAGGGGACAATTCCAAAGGGACGCAAATAAGAAAGCAGGCCTGTGATGACGGCGGCCTGAGCCAGAGGCGTTAAAATCATCAAAGCTCCACCAGAGCTGGGGTGCAACTCCTGTCAAAAAGGGGTCCAAAACGTATTAACCGCGCGTTTTTGCTCCGGGCAGACGAGGCGCCCCTTTGGCCGCGGAGGGCACGATGAAGTAGGGCTGCCCGCCCGGCAACAGGTCAAAGTCGCAGCAGGGCATGTCGTCCTCCTCCTGCGCCGAGTGGCGAGATTTTTTGGGCATGGGACACGTCTCAGAGCCCGGAAATTTCACGAAACATGCCGCTTCACGTGAGCAGGCAAAACCCGGGATTAGAATGGTCTACCCCCAGAACCATGCAAAGAATTCAGAAGGCGGAGATCCGTAACTGGGACTGCCCCTAACCTTCATCAATCCCCGGGTTTTGAGCACGTGGCTCACGTGCGCGTCACGTGCGCACGTGCGCCTCACACGCCACGTGTGCCAAACGAGACGCCCTTGAGAAGCTGGACGGGAGGCCTTCAGATATGGCCATGGGTCAAAACCCAAATCGTACCCCCAGTGAACATCCCAGTCCCCACTAAATTTGCTAAAATGGGTGGTGCACGTATCCCAAAATGGTACCATTGGTTTTGAACCATGACCATCTGTCTGTCATAAACTGCTTGCGCTCAGGGAGTACGTGCTTTCGCCTCGCGCTGGTTGCAAGCGATTGGAGAAGAGTGTGGCTAACTTCATATAATGGTGGATTGTGCTACGCTGAGAAAACACATGGCAAGAGCGCCTGATCTTTTTACTCAAGACACACAGGCCGCAGAAATAAGCCTGTGTGGGCAGCCAACAAAGGTCAGGGGGTCAAGCTTCGGTCTGGCCAGGTAAAGGCACTCCAAAGAATCGACTGTTTGAAAGGGCTCTGATGAGGAGCTCTATTCTCAGCCATCTCTGCGCTTAAAAACATCATTGTGACGACATCTGGCTGTGGGTCAAACATATGTATATACCCAAGATGGAACCCTGGTAAATGGAAACATGGATTAAAACCTGCGATGCCCTGGTGGTTTAATTTTGACCCCTACCCATCTCACTCCCCACGCTCCACCCCGCGGGGCTCATGTGATGCAGCCACGACTTCAAAGCCCGGCATGAGCATGTGGTCGGCCCCTGCTTCATGCACGTCCTCAAGGGATGCACCGTGAATCGTCCTCTCTCCGCCTGAAAAACTGCCTCACGATCAGTCTTCAACTGCCAGAAACCATTTGGTATGAGCCCTGCAAAAGAGCCATGCCAGATTGATACGAAGATAGAACATTGGCCCTGAATATGATAACTGAGAGGGTAGTCGACTGAACAAGAAGCTGGCAGTATCAGTAATGCCCGGGTAAAACAGCCGATCTGTTTGTTTGAAGGAAACACCATCTTCGCTTGTACATTGCCCAACCTCAAAAACTCAATCAGCCAACCTTGCAAGTGGATGTCCAGAATCGCCCCGACCGTACCCTTTTTGGTACGTCACGCCCAGTGCGGAAGCGTCACTGGGCAAGGACACAAGAAACTGATCCACCACTTTTCGCTACGTCACGCCCAGTGAAAAACCGCGTCACTGGGCAAGGACACAAGAGGGATCGATCAACCAGTTGGGCGGCAAAAATTGGACACAAGAAACCAGTCAGGCGACAAATCAACCAGTTGGACACAAGAAACTGATCCACCAGTTTTTTGGTACGTCACGCCCAGTGAAAACCGCGTCACTGGGCAAGGACACAAGAAGGATCAGCCAGCTGGGCGGCAAAAATTGGACACAAGAAACCAGTCGGGCGACAAATCAACCAGTTGGACACAAGAAACTGATCCACCAGTTTTTGGTACGTCACGCCCAGTGAAAAACCGCGTCACTGGGCAAGGACACAAGAGGGATCAACCAGTTGGGCGGCAAAAATTGGACACAAGAAACCAGTTGGGCGACAAATCAACCAGTTGGACACAAGAAACTGATCCACCAGTTTTTTGGTACGTCACGCCCAGTGAAAAACCGCGTCACTGGGCAAGGACACGAGAGGGATCAACCAGTTGGGCGGCAAAAATTGGACACAAGAAGCCAGTCGGGCGACAAATCAACCAGTTAGACACAAGAAACTCATCCACCAGTTTTTGGTACGTCACGCCCAGTGAAAAACCACGTCACTGGGCAAGGACCCAAGAGGGATCAACCAGTTGGGCGGCAAAAATTGGACACAAGAAACCAGTCGGGCGACAAATCAACCAGTTGGACACAAGAAACTGATCCACCAGTTTTTTGGTACGTCACGCCCAGTGAAAAACTGCGTCACTGGGCAAGGACACAAGAGGGATCAACCAGTTGGGCGGCAAAAATTGGACACAAGAAACCAGTCGGGCGACGAACCAACCAGTTGGACAAGAAACTCATCGATCAGTTTTTGGTACGTCACGCCCAGTGAAAAACCGCGTCACTGGGCAAGGACACAAGAGGGATCAACCAGTTGGGCGGCAAAAATTGGACACAAGAAACCAGTCGGGCGACAAATCAACCAGTTGGACACAAGAAACTCATCCACCAGTTTTTGGTACGTCACGCCCAGTGAAAAACCGCGTCACTGGGCAAGGACACAAGAGGGATCAACCAGTTGGGCGGCAAAAATTGGACACAAGAAACCAGTCGGGCGACAAATCAACCAGTTGGACACAAGAAACTCATCCACCAGTTTTTTGGTACGTCACGCCCAGTGAAAAACCGCGTCACTGGGCAAGGACACAAGAGGGATCAACCAGTTGGGCGGCAAAAATTGGACACAAGAAACCAGTCGGGCGACAAATCAACCAGTTGGACACAAGAAACTGATCCACCAGTGTTTGGTACGTCACGCCCAGTGAAAAACCGCGTCACTGGGCAAGGACACAAGAGGGATCAACCAGTTGGGCGGCACAAATTCGACACAAGAAACCAGTCAGGCGACAAATCAACCAGTTGGACACAAGAAACTCATCCACCAGTTTTTTGGTACGTCACGCCCAGTGAAAAACCGCGTCACTGGGCAAGGACACAAGAGGGATCAACCAGTTGGGCGGCAAAAATTGGACACAAGAAACCAGTCGGGCGACAAATCAACCAGTTGGACACAACAAACTGATCCACCAGTTGTTTGGTACGTCACGCCCAGTGAAAAACCGCGCCACTGGGCAAGGACACAAGAAACCAACCAGTTGGGCGGCAAAAATTGGACACAAGAAACCAGTCGGGCGACAAATCAACCAGTTGGACACAAGAAACTCATCCACCAGTTGTTTGGTACGTCACGCCCAGTGAAAAACCGCGTCACTGGGCAAGGACACAAGAGGGATCAACCAGTTGGGCGGCACAAATTGGACACAAGAAACCAGTCGGGCGACAAATCAACCAGTTGGACACAAGAAACTCATCCACCAGTTGTTTGGTACGTCACGCCCAGTGAAAAACTGCGTCACTGGGCAAGAACACAAGAGGGATCAACCAGTTGGGCGGCAAAAATTGGACACAAGAAACCAGTCGGGCGAAAAATCAACCAGTTGGACACAAGAAACTCATCCACCAATTTTGGTACGTCACGCCCAGTGAAAAACCGCGTCACTGGGCAAGGACACAAGAGGGATCAACCAGTTGGGCGGCAAAAATTGGACACAAGAAACCAGTCGGGCGACAAATCAACCAGTTGGACACAACAAACTGATCCACCAGTTTTTTGGTACGTCACGCCCAGTGAAAAACCGCGTCACTGGGCAAGGACACAAGACGGATCAACCAGTTGGGCGGCACAAATTGGACACAAGAAACCAGTCAGGCGACAAATCAACCAGTTGGACACAAGAAACTGATCCACCAGTTTTTGGTACGTCACGCCCAGTGAAAAACCGCGCCACTGGGAAAGAAAGGACACAAGAAACCAACCAGTTGGGCGGCAAAAATTGGACACAATAAACCAGTCGGGCGACAAATCAACCAGTTGGACACAAGAAACTGATCCACCAGTTTTTTGGTACGTCACGCCCAGTGAAAAACCGCGTCACTGGGCAAGGACACAAGAGGGATCAACCAGTTGGGCGGCAAAAATTGGACACAAGAAACCAGTCGGGCGACAAATCAACCAGTTGGACACAAGAAACTGATCCACCAGTTTTTGGTACGTCACGCCCAGTGAAAAACCGCGCCACTGGGAAAGGACACAAGAAACCAACCAGTTGGGCGGCAAAAATTGGACACAATAAACCAGTCGGGCGACAAATCAACCAGTTGGACACAAGAAACTCATCCACCAGTTTTTTGGTACGTCACGCCCAGTGAAAAACCGCGCCACTGGGCAAGGACACAAGAGGGATCAACCAGTTGGGCGGCAAAAATTGGACACAAGAAACCAGTCGCGCGACAAATCAACCAGGACACAAGAAACTGATCCACCAGTTTTTTGGTACGTCACGCCCAGTGAAAAACCGCGTCACTGGGCAAGAACACAACAAACCAACCAGTTGGGCGGCAAAAATTGGACACAAGAAACCAGTCGGGCGACAAGTCAACCAGGACACAAGAAACTGATCCACCAGTTTTTTGGTACGTCACGCCCAGTGAAAAACCGCGTCACTGGGCAAGGACACAAGAGGGATCAACCAGTTGGGCGGCAAAAATTGGACACAAGAAACCAGTCGGGCGACAAATCAACCAGGACACAAGAAACTGATCCACCAGTTTTTTGGTACGTCACGCCCAGTGAAAAACCGCGTCACTGGGCAAGGACACAAGAGGGATCAACCAGTTGGGCGGCAAAAATTGGACACAAGAAACCAGTCGGGCGACAAATCAACCAGGACACAAGAAACTGATCCACCAGTTTTTTGGTACGTCACGCCCAGTGAAAAACCGCGTCACTGGGCAAGGACACAAGAGGGATCAACCAGTTGGGCGGCAAAAATTGGACACAAGAAACCAGTCGGGCGACAAGTCAACCAGTTGGACACAAGAAACTGATCCACCAGTTTTTTGGTACGTCACGCCCAGTGAAAAACCGCGTCACTGGGCAAGGACACAAGAGGGATCAACCAGTTGGGCGGCAAAAATTGGACACAAGAAACCAGTCGGGCGACAAGTCAACCAGGACACAAGAAACTGATCCACCAGTTTTTTGGTACGTCACGCCCAGTGAAAAACCGCGTCACTGGGCAAGGACACAAGAGGGATCAACCAGTTGGGCGGCAAAAATTGGACACAAGAAACCAGTCGGGCGACAAGTCAACCAGGACACAAGAAACTGATCCACCAGTTTTTTGGTACGTCACGCCCAGTGAAAAACCGCGTCACTGGGCAAGGACACAAGAGGGATCAACCAGTTGGGCGGCAAAAATTGGACACAAGAAACCAGTCGGGCGACAAGTCAACCAGGACACAAGAAACTGATCCACCAGTTTTTTGGTACGTCACGCCCAGTGAAAAACCGCGTCACTGGGCAAGGACACAAGAGGGATCAACCAGTTGGGCGGCAAAAATTGGACACAAGAAACCAGTCGGGCGACAAGTCAACCAGGACACAAGAAACTGATCCACCAGTTTTTTGGTACGTCACGCCCAGTGAAAAACCGCGTCACTGGGCAAGGACACAAGAGGGATCAACCAGTTGGGCGGCAAAAATTGGACACAAGAAACCAGTCGGGCGACAAGTCAACCAGGACACAAGAAACTGATCCACCAGTTTTTTTGGTACGTCACGCCCAGTAAAAAAACCGCGTCACTGGGCAAGGGCACAAGAGGGATCAACCAGTTGGGCGGCAAAAATTGGACACAAGAAACCAGTCGGGCGACAAATCAACCAGGACACAAGAAACTGATCCACCAGTTTTTTGGTACGTCACGCCCAGTGAAAAACCGCGTCACTGGGCAAGGACACAAGAGGGATCAACCAGTTGGGCGGCAAAAATTGGACACAAGAAACCAGTCGGGCGACAAATCAACCAGGACACAAGAAACTGATTCACCCCTCGGATCAGAAAGTGGCCTTGTTGTTCCTCACCACATGCAGCGCCATGGTGGCAGGGGATTCTCCCGCTTCGGCCAGCGCAATGGACCTTCAGGCATGGGAAGCGCTTGGCAACACATGGCCATGGGCTCAACATCCGGTACCCCCATTTAGCTGTGGCGCAAAAGAACGGAATTCCAAAATGGGTTGCCCGATCGGAAAGTGGAACCATGGACCAAAACCAGCAGTTTGCCCCTCCTGTTTAATTTGAGCCACACCCAAATTTACCCCCAACAAGAACCAAGGGTTCAAATCCCAAACCCGCAATCCAAGAGCCACCAACTAAGGGGACATTGATATTGGATATGGCCCTGGGCTTCTCAAAATCCAAATCGGTGGGCTAACCCAATGAACATCCGATTCAATCCAACCACGAAAATAGGAAGCTTAAAATGGGTGGTGAATTCACCCAATCCAACCAAAATGGGATCCCAAAACGGCTTTGACAACCACAGCCCACCCTAAAGGGGTTCACTATGTCGGGAAACACAAAGAACTCAGCCCAGTGGCCGTGGGAAAGCAAGGCCATCCCTTTTGACTTAGTTGAGTTTAAAGGGGAACCCTTCCCCCAAAAACAAAATGGGAAAAAAGGGCGCCACTGGGCAACTGGGAGAAGCAATCCATGCCAGTGAAATTACCAATTCGTGCTGAGGTATTGTCGAAGCAATGTGTTGCTCTGGCAGATGATGGTGAAGCTGTTGATGATTGGCGAAGGGCTTCAATTGTAGTCTCCTGTCAGAACAGCATGGGGATTCCCAATACAACCCATGCTCAGCCCAAAGCAAAGGCGTTCCTCACAATTCCACGGTACCTCCAAAGGAGATATTCAAAGCTTTGGCGGGGCCAGCCTGCAATTTCTGTTCACAAATGGCCATGGGTCAAAACCCAAATCGTACCCCCAGTGAACATCCCAATCCCCACTTAAAATAGGTTCTAAAATGGGTGGTGAATTCACCTACCCCAAAATGGGATCCCATTGGTTTTGACAACCACGGCCACATATTGTAGCGTAGTGTGACCCAAGGAAAGCCGTCCAATAGAGGCTGGGGGGATTTCGTGGCTGCCAAGCTGCACTCTGACACCGGCGACCGTGCCTCAGTGGAAAGGCAAACCTCCGAGCGGCGAGAAGCGCAACTGGCGTTCCAGCGTGGTGTTCCAGGTGTGCATCCAACCCTTGGAACTGCATTGGCATGAAATATCCACAAAACTCTGGAACCGACCCTCCAAGCCGACATCACAAGCAATGGAAAGCGCTTCTGCCCTCTCATTTTCACCCGAACTGGCAAGGTATACTGGCTATGGCTCATCCTTCAGGGGGTGTGTGAGAAAGTCGACATATCTAAGCTGCTTGATGTCTTGCAGCCTTCACTTTTTTCGTCATCCGACCAATGACCCAACTTTCAGTTGCTAGCTTCTTCCAGCAAAGGGAAGGTGCTCCCATTTCAGTGGATTCCCCTCGACTTTCGCCACATCCGTTCCAACTGAGAGGGCTGGCTGGAATTTGTGACTTCGCGTGTCACGGCAGTCTGGGAATGCTGGAACTCGTGCAGCCAATTCGATGAACGACTGGCCTGAGAATCTATCAACACGAAAGGCACGAGGTCGCAAAGGATAAGCATGCCTGTGCAGGCGCTGGTAAGGCCTAGCAATGTATTGGTGAATCCACAAAGTAGTACTACAGTATTACTGGTATTACACATAGTCACTGGGGGGGGGGCATCAGGTAGGGAAGTTTCCCCCAGCAGTTTGCTCACATGAACTTTCGTTTAAGTGCCATGATGCTCAGCGATCGACGGGCCCTGTTGTTGTGACGATAGTTGAACGAGTGCCGCAATATGGGTTTTCCTCAGAATTTCTGTGCGGCCGAGGATCCAGGGGTTGTATCCGTACTCCTAGTTCGGCAATCAATGTTCTATGTGGTCTGGGTAGCGATCCTATGAACAATCCCATAAATGGATTCTAAACAAGCGAAAGAGACTAGACGTTACAAGCCGAATTCCAACTGCGAGATGCGCAGCCTGGGACGGGAAGCCTTTGGGGCCAACCACCCAACCAGAGGCAAAGCCACAGCGCCGAGCGACTCTTGGAGCCAAAACCCCTTTTGCTCTTCGATTCTGTTCTGAAGCAGCGGACCAAATAGCCTGAGCAGCGACCCGGGACGGGCCTACCACACCGTGTTTTTGCTCGCCGAACGGATACATCCGGTCGAGTCCAAGTATCTGAAACAAGACAAGACTCCGGCCGTCGCCAACTTTTTCTCCACTGGAGACAACACTGCAAGGCCGCGCATGATGATGCATGACGGGAGATGGAAATGTGTCATACCCCAAACAACTGAAGTACTCCTCATGCAAAGTTGTGCTCTGCCCGCGTACTAGACCGAGCGCAAGCAGTCTCTACCTCTGCACATGACAGATGATACAAAATGACCCCCGAAGAACAAACGCAGCGCTGGGTGCCTCGAAGGAATCAGCCCGGGCAGGCACTCACGTCACGGAAGATGTCTTGCTTTGGGAATCGGATTTCAATGGCGACGGAAATGGCCACCGTGTTGGCTGCTGAAATATATTGTCTTTCCATCCGTGGGAATGTGAAATTGGGTGAGGACCAGAAAGCAACCATGGCCTCGTTTCGCTGGATGAAACACAGCAAAAGCCAAGGGCGTCGCAGCGCAAACTCCGCTGGCTGAAACCAGACACAACCTTTTTCAAATGCCCCACACAAGCCCGTGAAACCCAGGCGAGAATCCAGAGAAACATCACAGCTCGTGAAGACGCGAAACTGAAGCCCTGACAAAGAGACCAAGAGACAGGACGTGACCGGAATCGTGGCTGCCAAAGGGGCAGGGGTTCTTCCGCCACGTACTGGTGCCAAAGGCCCCGCCACTGGTCTCAATGACGAACCTGAAGCTGGCAAGCATCACAAGAGAGGCTACTCAGCTACTCTGAACATAGGGACACCTTGTCCAATGCTACCCTATTCTGATTTGCGCCTAAAGCTTTGTGGCTGTTTGTGCCTGTATGGTTCAACAGCAAGTGCCGCCTTCGGTTTGCGGATCATGTTGCTCCATTCGTCAGGGTGAATATACAGAAGCAACCAAACCGCTCTTGGAGATTCAATTGGACCCCAGGCCGCAAAGCTTTCTAAGACATGTCCATAGGGAGAACCCACGCCGCAAGCAACATCAAATCAACATAGCCAAGTCCTCACAACTATGCATGCAGGTTGAAGATGTGAGTCCTCATCTTTCCGTTCTCTTATATGTTCGGCTGTGGGACGCTAGTTGATCCAAGATGTGCGAATCCCTCCGAACCAAGCATCCCAAACCAAGACAAATGTCGGGCGCACCAGGACTGATTCAGCATGACTAGTGTCATGGCAAGCAAGCAATCCAACGAGATTAAATGTTTGGAACCCGTTTCAGATCAGCCCGGAGCGGATGTAGTCGCAGACCATGAGGGACTATGGTTGCTCCAATATTCTCCGCTGCAAGCATCATGAACCAAAGAAAATACCGAAGCAGATACCAAGCTTCTTGCCATGGCACTCGCCTTTCACCGTGGACACGTCCGTGCGAAGCCGCTTGATCTCAGCCTCCAACGGAGCTTTGAATGAGCGCTCCATGACCCAGCCTGAAAAAGAGCATGCCTCGGATGCCTGCCGCACTCCTGTGGAACTTCTAGCATCCCACAGTGGTGATGGTTCACTGCTGGATTGTGTCAAACTCAGGTGTCATCCTACACCACGCACTGAAGAGGGCAGCTTCCCATTTGGACATCATGTCACTGCTTGCACATCTTGTCCGAGGTGTAATGAGCTTCGGTACAATGTCTCAAGGAGATTCTTAGTCTCTTTGAGTGCCACAATTGGCTCTTTGGTGAAATCATGCTGGTGAATCCTCTTGGCGGATGCTTTCGGCGAATCCACAACTCGACTTGGAAGCAACATATCAGCACTTCGAAGCGAGCCTTGTAAGCCAAATGGTCAGAAGGTTGATGCGCTTGGGACAGGAAAACGAAAGAAGGCCTCACTAAAGTCAACAGTGTACAGTAAACGAAGGAACAAGTACAAGCATTCAGCATCGAGGCGCCGCTGTGCCAAAAAGAGGTAGCTCCGGCGATTTCATGGGAGAATCCCACCCCACTCTCCATTTAAGTTTGCCCTTGCCAAGTGTGGCCATCCGTTTGCGAGGCGACTCGTCCTGAGCTGCAAAGTTCTGACCCAGGACACCTTTCCCCTCCCGAAGGGGCGGAAGCATGTGCTTTGCCGGATCAGACTTTGTCTGAGTAGCGGTCGCGGAATCAAAGGTTTCAAGGGTGCCGCTCAAAACAGATACGAGTAAACATCGATACCCAACCCAGTCCACCCTCGGATCTCCCGTGGATCGCCTGGATCGCGCCGCTGCGCCACTCGCCGCCGTTCCGCTCCTCGCCGGCTTTCAGCGCCAGGCCTGGCGCGCAAGGGGCCCGGCTGGCAGGGGAAAACTGGCTGGCGCGATAGGTAGGGAAGGTGGTGGAATGGACCCTTTTGGGATTTTTCTTGGAGGAAACCACCAGTTGGAAGGTTTGTAGGGGTCATTCCATTCCCTCATTCCCTGCCTATTGCACCAGCAAGAAAGTCACCAGGTTTGAAGTGGGAAACAGCTCACGCGGTAGAAGACGAGGTGGCATCAGTGGGGAAAGGCCGCACGGTGGGATCCAAGGTGAGCAAGCGGGCCTTCACCATTTGGCCCAGCCCTGAAGCCGGGCCAATGTCCGGGCAAAGGCAAGCTGATTTGTGCGTTTTGTTCCCGGCAATGCCGAAGGAAAACAGCCAGTTCTACATCTGTCCTGCTGTTTTTTTTGTATTTGACAGCGACAATTGCCTGGATGCCAAGCAGTCGCCAAGCAGATGGCGTTTCGGAGATTCGGATCTTCCCCTGCCTCGGTGAAGCAGCGCATACGCCAGCGCATACTTGCCCGAGGAGCAAGCATTCCTGGCATGCTTCTTGGGCATCGGAGCCGGCTCTCCGACTTGAGAGCCGCCTCATAATGGGGGCTGGGGGCGGAGGGGGGGGCGGAGCGGGAGCCCCAATAAGCCCCAAATAAGGCCTGATTAGGGGCTTAATAATTGCTCCCGCCCCCGCCCCTCCCCCCCAGCCCCCATGATTCATGGCAAAGGAAAGACCAGAAAATGGGAAACGAATCTGTTGTTTTCTCATTGATTCAGGAATTGGGCACCGGTCCAGCAAAAGGGCGGAAGAACAAAAGGAATTCGCGAATCCCGGACGCCATGCCCCCGAGCACCTAAACCTCCGCTTCCTGCACACGTCTCAGCGAAGGCCTGAACCCAGCACCTCAGCACCTGCCCAGCCCCCCTCCTCAGTGCAGAAGTCACAAAGTCCAGCTTCTTCTTCCGCAGCCGCGAGTAAGGCTCCTCGCGGGCCCGCAACCGCAAGTTGCCAATGCGTCCACTGGTCTCGTGCTTGCGCAGAAGCCTTCTCCACGAGCATTGAAAAGTAAACTCAAGTTGCACAAAGACTCAGTCACACATTGAGATACCAAAAGGGCGGCCTCCCATCTTCCAAATCTTTTTCATGGACCAGGAGGTTCAGGATCCAGAGATCCAAGGGGCATCTTTGGGAGATCGGCCCAGCATTGCTCAAAGGTGTCCTGGATCCCAGGCTGTCTGTCTCTTTCCCCCTTTGTCTCACTGTGGCGTCGATTTCAAGTTCCTGACTCCTCAATTGTGTCCACCTGACTTGTGGAAATAATTATTCCTCTTCTCTTCCCTTTCATTCAGTCCAAATCTGAATAGGCTCCCAACAGCTTGGAACCAACCAACACTCTCCCGTCTCCTGCAACAGGTCCGGAGTCAAGCTTGCCTGCGGCGACCCAGAACACGAGGCAGAGTGCAAGAACCCCTGCAGGACCTCTTGGATATGGCCAGCGCAAGATGCTCCGTTCCAAGCTCAGAACTGTCCAAGCCACAAAGTTGCCTGTGGGAATCGAGTGGTCCGCTCTGACCACATGTTCAAGAGTCTTACAATCCTCTCAGTTGCTCACACCCGCACCCACAGGCTGTCCACACAGCTATTTGTCCGAGGCCTGGAGGCACGGTTCAAACCTATCTGCTTGGAACATGTCAAATGGCTAGGTACACGGCAAGGCATCGTCAGTATCTCCCACCCGCAAGAGGAAACACGTAGACACACACACACACACACACACACACCCACCCACCCACCTACCCACCCACCCACGCACACACGCACGCACGCACGCACGCACGCACCGAGAGACACACAGACACACAGACACACAGACACACAGACACACAGACACACAGACACACAGACACACAGACACACAGACACACAGACACACAGACACACAGACACGACACACAGACACACAGACACACAGACACACAGACACACAGACACACAGACACACAGACACACAGACACACAGACACACAGACACACAGACACACAGACACACAGACACACAGACACACAGACACACAGACACACAGACACACACACACAGACAGACACACAGACACACAGACACACAGACACACACACAGACACACAGACACACAGACACACAGACACACAGACACACAGACACACAGACACACAGACACACACACAGACACACAGACACACAGACACACAGACACACACACACAGACACACAGACACACAGACACACAGACACACAGACACACAGACACACAGACACACAGACACACAGACACACAGACACACAGACACACAGACACACAGACACACAGACACACAGACACACAGACACACAGACACACAGACACACAGACACACAGACACACAGACACAGACACACAGACACACAGACACACAGACACACAGACACACAGACACACAGACACACAGACACACAGACACACAGACACACAGACACACAGACACACAGACACACAGACACACAGACACACAGACACACAGACACACAGACACACAGACACACAGACACACAGACACACAGACACACAGACACACAGACACACAGACACACACACACACACACACACCTTCGCCGTCTCGAAGGTCCCTGACAGCTTGACGCATTCAGGCCTGGCGCGCAGCCGTGATGGACATCAGCAGATCCTCGCAGAGTTGAGGCAACCGGCGAAGAAAACTGGCCATGTGACGACCAACTTAATGGCCCAGCCTGGGAGACTCAAGAGATTTGTTTGTCGTAGGTAACCAACCGAAAAGGAGCAAAGCAAACAGGAAGCCAGTGAACGACTAGACCAACCCAAAGAGCTATTGGATTCCTTGCCAATTGAACCATGTGCAAACGGCATCCCTGAATCCTATCCCGTGGTGTTCTAAGGAGGCAGCAAAGTCTAGCAAAGTCTATGGCAGCAAGTTAATGTTTCATCCTTCTGGCTGACACGCAGCGTCAGTCACTGCAAAGCGGGAGCTGCTGGCTTGTCGAAAAGTTTGGTTTATCACCCAGCTGGACACTGAAGCCAAGCACCCAAGCCACGCACAATGTGGAAGAAAACAGGAGGCTGCGAGACACTGATGAGTGGTCCTGATTTTACGAGTGTGAGTGGCACTTGAAGCCAATAGTCTCGAAAAACATGTTGTTGGTCCCAACAAAAGAAATGAGACCCAAAACCACATACAGGGAACGCTCGTGGAACCTTGCAGAGTTTTATTTTAGAGTCGCCTTGCGGAAGCGCAACCGGAGCGCGCCCAGAACCCTCGCAAAACCTTTCAGAACCGCCTGCTCCTCGGAAGCATATGCAGACAAACGGTTTTGCGTATACACATGCACATGCTTTTGTCCAGCCAGGACCCCCTCCTCCCGGGGAGGGGGGGGGTACTGGTGCTTTGAAGTATTGGTTTGGTTTGGTTTGAGTTTGGTTTTGGGTTTGGATTAAACAACAATTAACATTTGCCGGTTTAGGTGGGTTTCGAGTGTGGTGTAAAGTTGGTGTTGGCCGCCCTGACAAACTTGGCAAACTCAGGCTCACTTTTGTGGCCGGCACTATCATGACCACGCGCAGCGCCCTCTTGATTCTTTGGAAAGTCGCGCGCGCCGCGCGAACAAGGATGACCTGGCCTGTCTTTTTTGGGGTTGGCTTAAGGCTGTTTTTTTTTTAAGCGGGTTTGGGTTTGTTTGGGGCTGGCTTTAGGTTAGGTTGCGGGGGTTCACTGGGCAACAACAACTTTGCCAGGTTGAACCCTTGCAATCAACGACTTTAGGGCCCGAAGGACTTGCACGAAACCTGGCTGTCCGGGTCAAATTGGGGCGTCACGCTTTGAACCTTTCCGCCAGACGTTGAATCATGGCAAGCTCCAACTTCAACAGCACAACAAGCTCGAAACAACGCTTCCACCATAAAGGTCCGAAATGTCGGTCATGTTGATCATGAAACCCATGATTCTGTAAGCCTGCGAGCGGTCAACCGGTAAATACGCCTGTCGCATCAGCATTTCAAGCCAACGGGTACGCTCTCCCCTCAGATCTCAAACTCAATCGCGCCACATCGCAGCACCACTGTGGCGCCTGTCCAAGTTGGCACAGGGGGTGCGGAGACGGAGGCCCCAAAGACCGAGCCATCTGCCAGGTTTGGGCGGGCTGCTTGCACGGCATCGTGAAGCCAGCTTGAATTGTTTCGGCTTAGGTTCACATTTGGTTTGGCAAGCAGTTTCAGGGCACTCACCAAGGCAAGAGGAAGGAGAGACGCATGAAGACGTGACTCAACCTGAGAAGACTGTGGCATCGGCACTTCGGCCGATCCTGCCGCAAAGGCAACTCAAACCTCGCTGGGGCCGCGGCCCTGATTTCTGATTCTCCAGTCCGCGCCATCTTGCCCAACTCAACCATTGCTGAGGATGCGTTTTTTCGGCCGTTTCCAAAAATGGGTTGCACCGCCGGGTTCGGCTCGACTCGACACGAGCACCCCCCACGCTCCGTTAAGGAGGACACCGGTGCAACGCCCAAATGGGTTGCACCGCGGGAGACAGTCCCCTCACACCGCGGATTTTTTGAGAAAAGTGGTGTCAAATCGCCTCGAAGTCCTCAGCAAAACAGGAACATCACAACGTTCCGACTTGAGAACCACCAGCTGTCACGAGCAGCTACGTTCCAAAGCGGTCTTCGCATGGGCGGTCTTCGTGTGCTCCCATGCCCACTGCTGTTGCGCAAGTTATCGGTCATGCGAGCACACACGCACACACCCGCGCGTGTGCACATATATATATATACACACACACACACACGTGTATCTGCATTTCTGTGTAGATTCGTGAGGATAGCTTAGGGCTGGCATGGCTGCCGTACATCCGGGCTGGCATGGCTGCCGTACATCCGACTCACCAGCGGACTCCTTCATCGGCGTACCCCGCTCGGCGGCCATGGCCAGCGCCGAGTCCAAGGCGTCCTGGCGCCTGCGCTTCGACGTTTTTTTGTGTTGTTTTCCTCCGGTTGGAAAAGGGCAACCCAATGCTCCCATAGGGGAAAGAAACCCCCACAAAATTGAGAAACCAAAAACAAAAAGCAAAATTGAGAAACCCCCCACAAAAATATCTCAATCCAAACGAAAGAACACGCACTTTCTTTTCTGGGGGCAAGGGGGGAGCTTATCAAGGTTTTGCCACCCCTAAAGGGAAAGGGCTGCGAACTGGTTGGACCATGATCACTCTGATCTAGTCTCGGAAAACTTCATATTCATCAACCTTTGGAACGGGAAAAGGAAAGGATAAAAGAGCTCTTATTCGGAGTCATGAACTCATCCTGAAAGGATTCCTACTGACGCTTGTTGGTAGCCGACTATCCGGCCCGGCCAGCAATTCAGTGACTAACCAAGCCTGGCTTGGTCGAATCAACCCAAAGCAAAGCAGGCAGCCCACCTGCAGCCAGCCAAAAAACAACCAACCCAAAACCAGCTAACACAACATCCAGCCTTAGCCAAGCCAAATCCATGAAACCGAAACTGCAACCAAACCCAAGCAAACCCAAGCATAATCTACCCAAACCGCAAAATGTAAGCATTTCAGACAAACCCTACAGAATCAAACGAGAATCGCGGCTGTCCCCAATGCAGCCAGACCTGCCATTCTGGGCATATTGCTTGCTCCCAGCAACTCATGCAGGGCTAAAAAGTGATGTTTTTAGTACAACTTGCCGAGTGCAGAGTGCCCACCCCGGCTCGCTGCAAATGGAAGTTCTGCAAATCCCTCCCAAGCCTCCCGACTTGGGAGCATTGGAAGTACCTTCTGATTTTCTTCCAATAACAGGCAAGAAAATCACCTCGTCTCACAGCCAATGCGCTTGCACTCTTTGTTGCTTCGTTGTTATTGGGGTGTTTTAGTAGAAGTCTCTCATTGCTTTTCTTTGTCTGGCATTGGTTGGGCTTGAGTGTGGCTGGCGCTTGGCATTGGCTTGGTTGATTGTCTTGGCTTGGTTGGCTCTATGCAATAGACTGTGCTGTCTTGGTAGCAAAGAGTGATTGCGGCGACTGCCTCGCTTCTTTGGCAGCGAACGGAGTGCAAGCATCTGTTCCAAACCAATGGCAAGCAGCACTTGGCATTCGGCCCAAGGAAGCTCATCAGGTCCCAATTTTTGACACTAGATCAGGCCCAAACCCAGCTCTTTCACACAGCATTATGTTCCAGTCACACAAAACAAAGGAAGCCCCTTTTTGGTATGTGGGGGTTGATCAACACTCCTGGCCCCAAAATGACCATGGGTAGCTTTTCCCGTTTGGTGGTGAAAGGCATATCTTTTTGGTGGTTTCCCTCGTGGTCACCCCATGTTCGGGGAAGAAGAAAAAAGTGATCGACCCCAAGGCTTCTTTTCCCACCCTGCCAGCCTCTGGGCCTCCTCCTCCAGCAACACTCGCAACTCCTCTGCCTCTGGGATGGACTTCCTCGGAACAGCGAGTCAGCTCAGCCTGGATCCACCGAAAGGCCACGTATGGACAAAGCACACCTCACTTGCCAACTTGACACAAAACCTGCCCGCAGAACGCAACACAAATGGTGCTGTTCGTGAGGATCAGGTTGAGAGCTGAGAAACATCGCATGTTTCAGAGATTTCTAGCTGCAAAGCACGGCAGAGCTCACCCGACTCACCCCGCGATTGTAGGAATGGCAGTTGGCTTTCTTCCAAGTTGCTTGGCTTCCTCTTGCGCCGAGAAGATGCAAGCCTGCGGACAGGTGAATGTGCTGGAGGCACGGCCAACAATCATCGAATCCAGTACTTCAAAGCTGCAGCCAAAAAAAGAACGGTACCGGAAGCAAAAAAAAGGTCGAGCGCGGTGCGTAGCTTCATCGTGGACGCTTTTATTGGGCTTCGTCGCCAACTGTTCCGTCGGCGACATGCGGCAGGGATTTCCACTCGAAGCCAAAATATCGCTCCATCTGAGCAACTTGAGGTGGGGCTCTACCAAGCTGCTTTGAACCCTGGCTGAGAAAATGGGTTGGACGCCCGCGCTGACTGAATGTCCGAAAGGCACGCAGCTCCCTTGAGTTGCAGATTGCACAAAGAGGCATTTTGTCGACAAACAGAATCATGAAACAATATCATATCATCTATCCCTCCCTGAGAGTATTTGACCTAACGTATTGTGCGAAACGTTTTTTGGGTTCCACATGCACGGCTGCTTGTCTAATGCCATAGCCGTCTTTTCGACAAGTTATTTTGGAGTTTTGACAAGCCCACTCCAATGCGTTTGTTTCTGACCTCAGAGGCAAATCAGCCAAACCCAAGCAGTGCCGCCATTACATCATGCCCCTTGGAATTGAGCCTCCGTACCTCAAAACACAGCTCCGTTTTCCGCTCCGCAGGCCCCACCACGCCTGGATGGCGTGCCCTAGGCGCAGCGCCCGCACATGCACCGCCTCCGGAGACATGGGCAGTCCTGTCGCCCGACGCCCGCCCGACGCCGGCCGGCTCGCGTGCCCGGTAGAACAGCATTCCGTGGTCGGGGGGATACAGCAGGATACAGATTCCTCTGCGGAAAGCTAGCTTAGATGGAGCAAGTTTCGATTGAGCGTTGTGTTTGTTGGGGTTTCCAAATGCCCGCCAGTCTGCAGCACTCGACATGTTTCCAAGGCGTCTCTCAATGGCGTGTTTTCTGTCACAACGGACCATATGCCGACTGCAAGCGGCCCGCCCGAACTGTTGAACTCACACGTACTATCCACGTCTCGTTCATGCAAGGCCTCACAGGGCAGAAGCCTGCTCTGAATCTTCTATGCATTTTGCCTTCCTCCTTGGCGGTGCTGTTCTCAGCATCAGCCTCCGGAGCGCCCAACCTTCAACCCAAGACAAGACACCTGGGCTTCTCCAAACCCGCCCACCCCTGCCCCTCTCGGCTCGGCTTTTCCCGCGTCCTGCCATGATGTCTTTGGCCTCCTTCACCGCCATCACGAAGGACCGCTCCGCCGCCAGGGCCATGCTGATGTCCTGCAAAGGCCGCGGGAGTCGAGGCAAGGAGCCAACCCAAGCGCAAGGATTTTCCGAGCCCCAAGGAGCCCCAAGAAGGCCTGAAGTGAAGCCGCAGTCAGCTTCACCTGAAGTGAAAGCTGCCGCTCCAGGCTGCAGGCCTGATTTTTGGTGAAAAAGTATCCAGGTGCGGTCAACAGGCTCATCTAGAATTCTGAGCCCAATGTTCCTTGAGGTGAGCTCGGCAAAATATCGTGCATGTTTGGCATGCCTCCTCTTCCAGCATGAATGCATGTATGGATACATTACATATATATATATATATATGTATATATGTATTATATACATAGACATATGTATGTGTATATATATATATATATGTCGTTACATGTTAGTCATGGTCAAAGTATCTGGTTGTCCCAAAGACTTGGCAACTATTGGGTCCCGCGTTTGTTTGGGACAATTGCGAGTTTCCGCTCGCACGGACCATGGACTACTGGACATGTTGAGCGAATATCATGTGTATATATATATATATGTATATATATATATGTATACATACAATTTATCTATGTATTCATGCATCCAGTCATTCATTTATGTGTCTACTTGATATGTATCGATCGATTTGCTTATGCATGTAAGTATGTTTCTACGTATACATTTACGCAGTACTTCTGTGATGTATTTACTTATGTTTTTCTTCTGTGTTTGTGCATGAGTGTGTGTGTGTGTGCCGCCAAAGATCCCAGGCCAGTGGAAAAGCCTCCAGCCCATGAAGTGAGACATGACTTGCTCTTGTACTCTGGACATAGGGAAGGCGGTCACCAAGGAAGATCATTGAAGCACGCTAACATATGTCATTTGGATTGAACCCTCACTGACAAGCCTGCCACTGACGAGGGCAACCACCGTTGTCAATGGTGACATACTTCCTCCAGAAGCAGTTTGGCAGTTTCACAAACTAACTGCCATCATTGTTTGTAATGATACGGTGCTGTTCAATGTTTGTCGCAAGTTCTTGATGGATATGATACTCATCCCAACAGCTTGAGCGTCAACATGCACCAACTCCTTGCCGAGGGTCAACATGCAACGTGTCCAGCACAAAATGTTGAGACTTGAAAGTGAGAGCCCTTTCAACACCGTCAGCTCAATCAGCCTTTTCAAGGACACCGCCGGAAAAATCACCCGACTCAAATCAGAATCCTCCAATTTCCTTGGCCAAGGTGGCCAAAGCCTGCGTCGCGCTTGGCGCCGAAAGAAAGAAAAAGACAACGGCGATGCCGACTTTGCGGCGCCTCCACCTCCTCCAAGATGCTCTTCTCCAGGCGCGGCACCAGCAGCTTGGCCGCGTCCGCCGCATCCTGAGCTCCAGCTCGCTTCGCCCTCCGACCGGGGAGCGTTTCCACGGGTAGCCGTCAACTTCACTGTCTTCAACGAGTTGCCGGAGGTAGTTTGGCACATGTTTTTGTTGGTTCTGTGCAAAGATGTGCCATGGCAAAAATCGTGTGGACCCGAATCCAAAGACCACTAGAGATCATGAGAAACACTTGGCCCCTGCGCAGAATGCCTTCAAAACAGATGCCTGGCAACATGCCTCTCACGCCTTGCCAGAGCAACCTGGCGCTTCCTTAGCCGCTTCCCACGCCATCCCCTCCACAAGGGTGAAAAAAAAACCGATGGACCATCACATGGCTGTGGTCAAAAATAGGGTAACCCCCAATGGCTTGCCCGATCGGAAAGTGGAAACATGGACCAAAACCTGGGGTCCATATCCTGGTTCAATTTGACCCATACCCACATGAGCCCGGGCAATATGTCTAGCCGGCTTCATTGCCCACAGCCCCTTTGGGCGGCTCCTGCAGCCGCAGGAATCGACCTTCCGCAGAGAGCTCTTGGATGTCATCGGCTTCCTGGCGAGCGCCGAGCGCGGCTCCGAAGGCAGGCGGCGAGCGGAAGCACGAACATGAGCCGCTCCGTAAACTCTCTTCCTAGCAGCGGGTCAAAAACACGCGAGTCCCTTTGACATGGTTGAATTCATTGGGACTGCGATTTCACAAAAATCGCCTTGTCCCAGATTTCCATTGGGGGGGGTAATTTGGGGATCAAAGGCTCACAATCCCAGGAATGTTTTACACCCATCTTTCGACATGGTCCTGTTGTGTCAAAAACCCTGTCAAAGGGGCGGGATGCGCCTGTTTTGCCACCAGCAGCTCCAGCTCCGTCTTAGTGTACACGAACCACTCCTCGGCTGCCCACAGGATTGGGTTCAAGAGCCACAGAAAGTTGTTGGGATTTGTCTGCTCATTTGCCTATGTGGCTGACAGTTTCCAATTATTTGAGTTAAACTTGAGTTAAACAAGCTCAACAAGAGGTACCGCCCCCCTAAAACGGGTGGCTCAACAAAACGGATGCCTCCGCAGCGGTTGCCTGGAGCAGTTTATGGCTTTCAATGTTGCTCCCATTTCCACATTCGCTGCTCCCCCTCGTTTGGCTCTGCACTTGTCCCACTGGAAAGAACAAGCGGTGGCAACAGCTGGCATGGCCAGTGCCACAACTGATTGAAAGACCCAGGCTCTTCCGGCAACTAGGGCGCGCCTTCGGGCATTGGGATCCAGAACGTCAGTGAGGCATAATTAACCTACACGCCCCAGCTTCACGCCCTCGATCGCGTCATGATGGGATGTGTCTAGCCGCATAACTTGTCAAAATGGCAGGAAAGCATTTGTATGCACTGGTGCGTCCAGCCACACACATCACACACACACACACACTTAAACTCCAGATGGAGGGTGCTAATCTTTCGAGTACAACTGATGAGTCTCGAGTACAACTGATGAGGCTCGAGTACAACTGACAAGTCTCAAGTCGGATAAGGTTCGGCTGGCAGGTCACTTGGCTTCACTCTAGTGTCGAAAACGTTACAAGGTTCAACACGAAGCACACACAGCGGCAAAAGAAGCGGCCAACTGGACTTTCATCAACATCACTTCACAAAAGCAGGTACACACGGGTGATCAATCCGTGCATCCACCATCAAGCATAGCTTCGTTGGCCAGCGTTTGCTTGATGGTCGCTGGCCCCCTGCTACTAATTGTGGTGACAGGGTATTCTGCCACTCCGCACACACACACGCCCCTCAGTGAGGGGGCGAGAAGTCTCTTTTTCATCAGGAAGATCACATACTCAACTTCGTATCTCTATCGTTTACCAAAATATCCACAGCGGCGAGGAGAACGTGAAACTGCCCGAAGCCGCTCAGAAGACGGGAACGAAAGATCACCACGATGAGCATGACGGGTGTCGCCATAGAAGACCGGAGGAAGTTGCAAAGCAGTCGAGCGATCCCCGTCAGAAATAGGGGGGGCATAGGTGAACATCTTTTCGACTCGGATTATGTCCGAATTCTGCACGTCAACAAGTGACTGATCCTGGGCTTGATGAGTGGAGAAGGACTCAAAGCGAGAAAGAATGCGTTGGTAACCTTGATGTTGCCAGTCGCGAATTGTCCACGCCTGACGGTGTTCACCAGTCCCACCAATGGGATCAGTTACCCGCTTCCACTCCCGAAACGAGTTGTCTGGTAGGTCAGGTACGGCTTCTTCTGGTTGCCACAGCTGAGATTGTCCCGGAGTATAGATCCGCACCCACTCCTGATCCTGCCAGACTGAATATTCGAGCCATGGGTGCTGCTCAGCGGTTCGGCCCGACGTCTGAGTTGCATCCTCGATGTCCATGCCGAAGTGAAAGACAGGGCGTGCCGCGGGTTCCGATCCAGCTAGCAAAGAAACAGCCACCATGCACAACCATGCACAACCAGCAACTACACAAGAAAGCACGGGCATGAGAAAGCACCCTTTTGTGCCATGATCAACACGCATCAGTCTATTCATCATTTAGCTCGAAGATAGGCTTCTCCTTGGTGGTGGAGCTGCATGGTTGGGTCGTAGGTAGATATGGATCAGAGACCCCAATAGACTCAAGTGGTTCAACTCCACGAGATGCACGTACTGGTTGGTGCTGATGGGACGCTTGACGCGCGCGATCCGACAGTTGCTGAGAGATCCCATCTTGAAGACGAGTGAGATCCTCAGTGGAGAAAGCCGCAGCATCCGATGATCTAAGAATCGCATGCAACATTTGCGGTGACATACACACAAAGCCGATGATTGCGTGGCCACGCTATGTTGATCAGGAAAAGACATCGAATTGAAGCCGTGAACAGCTTGAGGGGCAGCGACTCGCCGGTAGCCCTCAGTGGCCCAGTCCCTTTTGTACCAAATGCTGTTGTTGGGCTGCCCGCCTTCTTGATCAAAATTTGGGACATAGAACTCCTTCCACTCTCTGTATGTATGGGGCGGAGGCGGATCATCACGTTCGTCCTGTGGAGTCCATGATCCCGGATGAAAAATCTTGACCCATTGAGCATCTGGTTGTTGAGGATCCGGACACCACTCCAGCCACGGCATGACAACTCAAACCCTTGATCCAAAATCGAGAGGTGCACGGCTGCAGACTACAAGCACTACATGTGACACAACAACAAACATGCAAGCAAACACTTTTGTAGCAAGGCGCGGCTCAGGTGTCGAAGTCACTCGCCCCAATCAAATTGAATATCATGGAAAGACGAGGACGAACATCAGCCACCATCCGAGTTCGAGGATGCCGACGAAGAGGACAGCCCAGCGTACATGAGGTCTGGTGATCCCGAAGCGAAAACTGGACGTGCAATGTTGGGGCGCGGACGGCCGAGCCGTTGATATCCTCTGGTGACCCAGTCACGATACTGCCATGTGTAAAAGGATGCATATGAGACCAGCTGGGAAACAGAGCCCATAGTGTGCCTCCCGTGCTGTCACTAGGCCAATACACGTCGAAGTGGTAGAACCTGCGCCATTCCCGATAGGTTGTTGTGTCATCCGGAGCCGGTCCCAAGGTGGATTCGGCGACTGGTTGCTACGGACCGGGTACATAGACTCGAATCCATTCAACGTTTGTGCTCGCAGGGCCATTGACGATGTCGTACTCAAAATAGCGTGGTAGGGACCATCTTGCAGTGCCACATATTGTGGAATTGAACATACCAACCAGATAAGCCGCTTTGAGGCAAAAGGGAGCGGCGAAAACATGGAGAAGGAAAGCACAACACAAGCCAAGACAACCCAAGTTGATGCAGCAATCAAATCAGGCACAATCGCATCGTTTTAACCGACATGTTGCTCAAGCATCAATCCGATTCGTTCCAATCAAAATTAGGATCATAGCTCGGTGGGGGAGAAGGTTCCCGCCACGCCCCATCCGGAACTGAAGACTCCAACGAGGAAGCAATTTCTTCATTCACGAGCTCCGTCGATCCAATGGCTGGTCGTGGATTGTCAAGGCGTTGATAACCTCGCGTGTTCCAGTCTCGGAATTCCCACACGCGATATGACACGTACGACATGGGCATGACTGCGGGCAAGTACACGTCGTGATACGACTTGCGCCACTCCCGATTCGTGGAAGCGTAGTCCGGGGCACGTCCCAGGGTAGCTGTGGCCACAGGTTGCCACGGGCCCGGTGTGTAAATTCGAATCCACTCCACGCCTCTCTCGATGCGGTACTCAAAATAGTGCGGGTACATGATAGCCAAATGTGTCGTCACAGTGCTGTTGAAAGAAAGCGCAAAGCCAAGGGATCTGCGGCGAAAAACTCATGCCATGACAACCCTGACTGCAATGTGAATGTGTTGAGCAACGCAACGCAAGGCAACTTTTCAAACTGAAGGCGGGACGAATCAACAAAGTCTGTAGTATACGACAACTATGATTCACCGCCGCTGATGCCGCACACACCTGCAATGGTAATGTCCTGGTCGGCGACGAGCACAGGGAGAAAGACACTTCCGTCCATGATGTAGAAAAGCATGACAGTAATGCTTGCAACTTGTCGATGCAGACCGTGATGGACGAGTAGCCCGTTTTGAAGGGAACACAGTGAAGGGTCGCCGAGATCTCCGCATGACAGAAGCGGATGTTGTTCGAGAGCGTTTTGGAGAACGCGTGAGACTGCGTAGATCATCATCACGGAACTGGTCAGCGCTGCGTACCGAGCGGCGTGTGCGCTGAGATTTCATGGTGGCCGGGCATGACTGTCCTCGAGGAGAGGGGCTCGAGGAGGCTCGCAATGAGGGCATAAACTGTGGGTGAAGAATCACCGGTGGTGGTGGTGGTGGAGGAGGTGGAGGTGGAAGAAGTATTGGAAACCGTGGCGGGGTTGGAGGTGAAGCAGTCAATCGAACTGGTCTGTCAAGCAATGTACCAGGCCCGTGAAACTGTAACCACGTCGGCTGCGCTCCATGGGTCCAAGTTATGAATGTCTGCACATCTTGCTCCAACATGATTTGAACACTCAAACCCGCAAGTCGAAGAGATAAACGCGGTAGCAGCTCTGCCATGCATGATATCCAAGTCATCAACAACTTCCATGACAACCAACAATGCCCTCAATGTCAGAAATGTCATGAATGTCTTTCAAGTCCTCACTGCAAAGTATGCCAGCCATGTCACGCAAGCAAGTGAGAAAAGAATCATGCGATCTACCATGTCTGCAATTCAAACCATCTCGTCAACTTGCAACGCTCACGGAATGCACTGAAACCTTCCGGGAGTCTTTCGTTCTCTCGATGCAAAGTGCCCTAAGCGCGAGCCTCAAGCTGCTGGTAGACCTTCCAGGCTTGCTTGACTTCCTCTGTGGGCTTCTGAAGGAAACGGGCAATGGTTTTGTAGGTGGGCCTGGAATCCTTGTCCTTTTTCCGTCTGACCATCTCATCCAGCTCACCTTGTGTCCACGCCGTAAAAGGTTCACGATGCGCATTGCGAAGGGCAATAGTGATAGTGAATTCTTGTAGAAGTTCCCGAGGTCCATGAACCACCGTGGGAGATGGACGGAACGATGAAGCACCTGGATGTGGACGAACTGAACCGTCCGAATCCGAATCAGGAGTGGTAGGCGATGTCTGTTCTGGTTCGCGTCCACTGCGAGGGGGTAGGGGAGCAAGAGGTCTTGGCGGCGGCAACCGATCCAACATTGACTCTGGATGGCGACCAGAAATGCTGTCAGTGGCATCCCGATGTGCCGCACGAGGCGGGGATAGTGCAGGTATATACCAGGTGGAGGAAGTATCCACAGGATTCGAGTAGGAGTGCGAGACCGATCGGACGAGGGCGCAGTCCATGCCTGGAATTCCGTGGAGCCCTGGGAG